AGGTGGACTGTAAACTGCATTACTGGTCTTTAGAGGTGTCGGGGATTAAAACAATATTTCACCATCACAGTATTTCTAAGCAAAAAACATCTGAAATAGAAGAGTAACTGATGGCACTAGCTGTGGTCTCGATTCCAAAGAAGTAATAATATAAAAAGCCAAAGTTCTGAATCCCAGATAACAGAATAGCTTGTTAAGCCAAGGTCATAATAATTCACACACTATGAGGAATTGAAGTAAATGCAAAGTGAATTTTAAATTTAAGGTCACTAGTAGCTGACACAGAAAAAATTATTCCAGTCAGCTATGCTTTCAAATCGGCTAATTAGACCTTCAATTTGAAATTCACTTTGAATTCCTTGCAATGTACGTCTGCCAAACACAAAACCATTTATGGAGAGTCAGGTTTTTGTCATCTAGGTTGATGTGTCCCTAGTTTGTGTTTATAGGAAAGAAATTTCACAAAAAGAAAAACAAACTTTGTTGGCGTGTCCTATTTCCTAAATCACTATCGATGCCTAGTTCATGCTGGGTTCCAGTACTATAGTAATTGCAATCTATTTTTAGTATTGGTAGCAGGTATAGGAAAGCACTAATTGCTGGCTCTGTGTCCTTTGAAATGATACAAGATATAGATAAAAGAAATTCTACCACCGCTATCACTTGAGCGGTGTCACTGCTCTACTAAATGTGAGTAAAACTAGCATTTACTTTTAGCTGTTTTTGTGAGACTAACCTCCAAAAGCTACATATCCATCAGTGGGGATTATACCGCTGTATGCTTTTTTAATCAGAGCTGGTCTATAGCTCTATCAAATGTGAGTGTGAATCCACACCATATCCTTATTGTGTGTCTTACATGCAGTACTTGACTATCTACACTATTATTGTTTTTTTTCTGTTTTGTTACATATGCGTCCCACCAATATAAACCTGGATGATTTCCAGCCAGGAAATTCCCAAGAATATTTTGGCCTTATTGGACTTAGTTTACTCATTATCTGGTGCAATCTGTTTTTGAGTAATATAAAACAGTGCCCTTCCAAGATAATATAGACCATAAAGATAGTCTTGTATTACCAGGCTTAACGTAAAGTACTCCAGAAGTAGTAAGCATACAGTATCAGGGCCAAGCCAAGGTTAGGACTGCCAGAGGTACACTAATAAGGTAAGCAAGCCAAGGTCAGGATAGATGAATTCATAATAAATGCTAAATAAGCTGGGTCTATACTAAATCACAATACAAGACACAAAACTCAATTAAGGACAACAGGAACCAAAAAAGGGCAACTACCCAGAGATGGACACAGAATAAATAGTCCTGAGAATGTACATCATCATTCTGCATCAATAGGCTGCCTTAGAATGTGACACACATATGTCACCTGACAATGTGTTGGAACAGGTATAGTTACAAGCTATAGTTGTGTCAATAAAAAATACAGGTTTGGAATGTTCTGCCCTATTACAGCTGAAAGAAAATGCAAATGATGCTGCAAGATGGGCAGGTAACAAGACCCGCATGTGAAGAAATTCAATGTGAACCACTAGTATTTAGCAAATGCATTTCTGCATCGATTGAAGAAACACTACAAGCACCATAACCACTTGAGTGTCAGGAGAACCCTGATTCCATCCCCAGTGTAATCTGTGATACAATTTTCATATGTTGAATTACTTACCTGGGTTCCCCAGGTGTGCTTCATCCTATCTTTTTTATAGGAGAAGCAATGTCTTGTTGCAGCCTAAGCAAAGCCGATACATGACTTCACTCACTGGCTGAAAGCACTCAACCAATGCTCTCAGCCAGTGACACTAGTCCTGCTTTGCCCTACATAGCTCGGTAGAACTAACTGGATTCTTCCATAGGACAATCATGGAAGCAAGACGTAGGACTGCAGACACCCAGTAAGACCCAGATAAATTGCCAGATTACAGTGGTACCCTCCATGAATTAGTCCTAGAGCTGGGTTGATATATTACTCATGAATAACATGCCAACCTTAATAATAATAATAATAATAATAACCTTAATCCAAAGAAGATCATCAGCATTAAAGGACCACTATAGTGCCAGGAAAACATACTCGTTCTCCTGGCTCTATAGGGTCCTTGGGTCCCCCTCACCCTCAGGGACCCCCGCCCGCCAAGCTCTAGGGTGAGGAAGGGGTTAATCCCTTACCTTTTTTCCAGCGCCGGGCTCCCTCGGCACTGGGGACTCTCCTCCTCCTTTCCCGTCATCGGCTGAATGCGCATGCGCGGCACGAGCCGTGCGTGCATTCAGCCAATCTCATAGGAAAGCATTCTCAATGCTTTCCTATGGACGCTGGCGTCTTCTTACTGTGAAAATCACAGTGAGAAACGCGGAAGCTCCTCTAGCGGCTGTCAATGAGACAGCCACTAGAGGCTGGATTAACCCTATTTTAAACATAGCAGTTTCTCTGAAACTGCTATGTTTACAGCTGCAGGGTTAACCCTAGAGGGACCTGGCACCCAGACCACTTCATTAAGCTGAAGTGGTCTGGGTGCCTATAGTGTTCCTTTAAAGCAACTCTGTCACCCCCTTCCCTGCAATACGAGTATTTCATTAAGACAGAATCTTTAGGAAATATTCATATTGATTGTGCGGGAATTTCACTGAAATTCCAGCCCAGTCAAGAGATATACATAGACAAAGTAAGGACTACACTGTCTCAGTATTCTTCCTACGCCTGACACTCCTTGACACTCAATTGAGATATTGCCTTCAAAATGTGTCAATCCCCAGCCCACAGCGGTGTCACTCTCTGTTATACTCTTGTGCATATGCAAAAGTACAGCAGTGATGTTGGCTCCTGGCAGGTGAAGCACCAGGAGCAGAAAATAATCAACTGGAAAAGGATGGTAGCACCCGTGAGGGTTATGTTCAGGTAAGTAGAACTCACCTTTGCCTGCCCTCCCAGACCACCAGACCCCCTGTGGCTATGTCATTGTTGGGGGTCTTTCACGGTGACAGTGCCACTCTAAATGCCAAAGCAGTGGCCATGGGTGCCATCTCCCAGTTGTTCACAACCAATAACCAATAACACAGTTATTTACTAAATATTGTAAACTCCATCTTCAATGAGAAGCAGCTAAATATTCTTTGAGCTGTTTAAAGAGTGGGCTAGGCACCATAACCACAACATGCAAATGTAGTGGTTATGGTACCAATAGATTGTGTGTGCCTTTGTCCAGTTTTTGGTCATACTGTTTTCAAGTTTTTGACCAAAACCAGCAGTCCCCATGGCACTCGCAGCCTTACCCCCCTGCTTGAATATTCCTAACGTGTCCTAAAGTTCTAGTTGCATGAAGTTGATACATTGCCTAGACTGCTTGCTTGACAAGCCATGGAAGATATAACTGCTTCTCTATGACAGACTGAGTAAGGACAGAATTGTCAAAAACAACATTGCCATTTTATTTTTCTCATAGTCCAAATAATTGCCAATAAAGTGCTCTTTTTATACAAAGTGCGAATGTGTCGAAATTTAAAACAGAGCATTAATATGCAAAGTTGTGCTGCCAAGTAAACTGGAATTCCTCCAGATTCCAAAAAAGTGCAAACACCAACCAAACAAATGTCTCTGGCACTGTGTGTTTAAATATGTTCTCTTATTATCACTATGAAGGGTAAATACATTTAAAAAACAGGGTATATTTCCTGTACAGAAAGTAGTGCATGTAGGCACATGTCAAAAAGAGATAAAGCAGTATGTAGTGTAGTATTTTAATTTATACAGATTTAAAACCACATGATTATACACAGTCACAAGTAAAAAGCACAATAGGAAATTGTGCAAAACCCACTTATTCTGCCGTTTGCTACCACCTGGTGTACCATTGACGTCACCACACTGCTGACATCACCATGCTTGATGTCATCTGCAAGTGTGGTGATGCAATCATGGTTTCTTCAAATCTTTCACAAACCACAAGCTAGCCATCCAGAAAAACATATTTTAGAGCAGTAAGACGTTTAATGACAATGATATCATTAGTAAAAGGGCAGGTTTTGTGTAAAAAGTGCAACAAATTAATAGTAACACTAACTTTGGCCAGTGTTTGTGACTACGTAGCTACTAAAAAAAAACTGGACATAGCACATTTTAAATACCATGTGTTGTCTAATTTTTTTTTTTTTTTTTAATTAATTCTCAATCCAAGTCTGCCATGCGGCCTCAAGTGCCAAGCAAAACTATCTGGTAAATTTCAATTTGTAAGAAATGAAAAGGGGAAAGCCCTGTGCCCTATATTTGACCCTATAACTTTCCAAAACCCCATGAAATCTGTACATCGGGGTGTTGTTGTACTTGTGAGACATTGCTGAACACACATATGTGTATTTTTTGGAGTAAAAAATAACAATATTATGATAATCACAGTTAAAATATAATGCAGAACTATTGCAGAAAAGGACAACATTTCTTAATTTATCACACTTTTTAATTTTATCTTATTCAAATAAATATTTGATGTGAAATAAAAGCCCTATTTCTCCTGAACAAATTGATATATAATCTGTGTGGGTGCACTTAACATGAAAGAGGTAAATTATTGTTAAATAAATATATAGCGCAAATTCCACATTTTGTTTTGGTTTTGTTTTGGTCAGAACTTGCACAAATGCCTCTGTCCTTAAGTGGTAAATCACACTGAACCAGAGATATTTCTTTGTTTGGCATTTCATTTCATCTCAGGTCATAGATTTAAATAACCAGATATCACTATTTGTTACATCAATGTTCAAAACCCTGCATAATATGGTCCAACGTATGCTAATTGCTCTAATCTAGAATTCACATGTTATTCCCCACCCCCATTAACAAATAACCTGCTTTTTTTTCACTGTGGTCCAAACACTGATTTTTCCAGACAGTAAACCCATTTTAATTGATGCAAAAACACACGCTGTCCTCCAACTGCAACCACTTCCTACAATAAAAGTGAAGTACCTCCCTCCTTCTTCACACTTTATTTCCCCTACTCCTACTGCATAGCATTCTACCTCCTCTGACATAAGCCATTCTCTTAACTCTTACAGATGTTGCCAGCGCAGATCCTGGCTACCGTACAGATTTAACACACTGAAAACATGCTGTGATCTTCACTAACGACTACGAGAGAAAGCGACTTGTAACTGGTCCCAAGACAACTTAATCAGGATTACGTCTTCTATGAAATAAGGAGATATGAACAATTCAAACGCACTTTAGGTACGTACAAGAATGTAACCTCTTATTTGCAAGTTTATTTATTTTGTTAAATTTCTTCTGCTGATGTGCTTTGAGCGTCATTATTAAACTACAAACACAAACAACCTGTGCAACGGAGCTTTTCAATGTTTGCTTACAAACTGCGATTGTTTTCTGGGTCATTTTGGAATTCGAAACAAAATTAGGACAGCTTTGAATGGAGTCGACTGATTTTGTAACAGAGCTTTATTTGCTGTTGATAAGACGTATACATGCTAATCTGTTTAGAGATGGCAGATGGTTTGAGAAAGTAATGAGTTAGACGCAGTATAGGCAATAAGCATAAGGATGCATTTATGTCTAACTTGAAAATTTCTAAGAGTAAAAAAGTAATTGTTCAGTATTCATGAAATATGAAAAGATATTAACAATAAAATGTTACATATAGTGTTAAACCATTATGAAATATATACATGTTTGTAAACACTATGCACATATAATTTACATATATATATATATATATATATATTTTTTTTAAATGTGCATACTGTTGAATAAAACATATGATGTTCTTACGATATAACGATGCAGTATACTTATGCTGAGCTGTCTCTTTCGGTTTGTTCTTCATAAAGGCTGTTTTTTTTTTCTCAACTATGTTAATGTGACAAATTATAACTACATTAGGAATTTGTTGATCTGAATATGTTCTCTCTGTACTTCCAGCCGTGCAGCTCCAAATTTGGTAGGCATTTTTGAAATATATCAATTAAACATATCCCTCTTTCTGAGGATGGTTGAACATCTTTTTTTTAATATGATAAACTATCTTGGGCAACATTTGGTTTTCCATACTTTATTCTGTACTGTGTTCATTTGAAATTACTGTATTAACAATATCTCTCTATCTATCGATCTATCTATCTGTCTGTCTGTCTATCTATCTATCTATCTGTTTGTCTGTCTGTTTATCTATCTGATCTTAACAGTTACATCTAGAGATGGATGATAAAAAATACATAAATTTTTTTTTAACTTTTTAATCTCCCTGGAAAAAAAATGGAACAAAACTAAAAATCACTGAAACAGGTAATGTCTGATTTGATTGTTTAGTTTGTATAGTTTCATTTTTAAGGTACAGGTGCAAGGTATAAATATATAGAAATATATCACAGTAATTCTAGCTCTGAACATGCAATGCATATATCAGAAATATAGGAAATGGCTATTTCACCTCTGTTGTGGTGTTGAGTGTTGTGGTGTTGGGTGGTGTGGCCTCACATTATATAGTGGTTCTAAATATATGTGTTATTAACAATTATATTGAATAGTACCAAAGTATTTAAAGAGATATTCTTGGCACCATAACAACTTCATCAGAATCAAGTTGTAATGGTGCGAGGAGGTCCATCAGCTCTGCCCCCTCATTTCTGTTCTAGTCTGAGGCTTCAGTCTGGAAGACCCTGACTGGGCGCCACTGATAAGCTGAAAAGGTAAGAAGCTCTCCAATCTCGAAATAGAGTGACAAAGGTACATACCTTTTTTACTCTGTTGTGTGAACGGGGAGCAACTGATTGACAAAAAGCGTCAGTTGACACGCTTAGCCTATCAGCAGTGCTCAGTTTGAGGCTTCCTGATTGAAGCTTTGGACTGGACCGGAAGTGAAGGAGCATAGCTGATGAATGCGGGATTGAAGACTTTGGGTTTAAACTGTTTGTTAATGGTTTAACCCCTTGAAGTAAGCCAGTGCCCCAGACCTACTTGCACTGTTACAACTTCATTCTGTTAAAGTTGTTATGGTGCCCAGAGTATTGCTTTTATGTTTTCAAGATTGTCCTGAAGTCTTGAGCGCCTTTATTACCCAACTAAATGGTACTCATTTAATTAACCTTGGAATAATGTGAGTTGCCTCTTTTAGGAATTAAACTGGGATTTTGGGTTTCTGCAGATTAAGTCTATCCCCATTAGCTATCTCACTTGCAGAACATGTTCAGATATATTCACCATGGCCCACCCGTGTGATGCAGACTTTACCACTCACTCTTATGTGTTTATTGAGGTACACATTAATTTTTTAACTAAGCAAACATGTTCATAAAACAATAAATTGCAACAATATTGGTGTACACTTGTGACATTTGAACACTAATTGTTTTATCACTTAGTGCCACTGAATGCTAAATGAACATGGTAGTTCCATATATAATCCCTGCCATGTCAGTAGTCATTCTAGTCTTTTTATCTGTGTCCACAAATTATAGATATATAACATCCGTTATGTTGTGTTTGTCACGGTTATATTTTGCCATCATGTTTGAATTGGTACATGGAAAATCCATAATTCAGATTTGTTATAAGAATTTAAGTCATTCTGACCCTCATAATAATTAGAAGAAGAACTGTATAGTATGTATCCTATTATAATTGTAGCATTTGTGTTTGATTTCACTGAATCTCTTAAAAAGTATTATGAGAAGACAACATTGGTCCAAATTTTCCACATAAAGGAACTCTCCATCTTTAAATTTTTTACACAAGAAAACCTTTATTTATAAAGCCAGAGGGTGTAAAATGCCATTTAGATTTTTTGTTGCCCCCAAGATGCCTTAAAAATGGTTAGCCTCTAATCGAGTGGCAAGACAGTCCCTTGTTGCAGATCTACTCCGCAGGACACTGTTGCGTTGGTTTGAAGTGTTTCTTTAAATGGCTTTTTCTTGCATGAGTGACACCTAAATCTATTGGCTCAATTGTATTTAGGATGCCACAGGGTATTCCATTAGCTGTCGCAATTTTCAATTAGGTGCTGTCTAAGAATGCGGGGAGTTGTTGAAAAAAATAATGACTTGGAGGACCACAGCTTTGTAATCACTAAATATCATTACTAAATGTGAAAATCTTGATATCTCTGCAAATATTTTCACAGTGTATTATATTTCTTCTTCATATTCCGTTGCTTTCATAGTAATTGGTTTTAATTAACTGCATGAAATACAATGTAGTGATTTGAAAATCTACTGTGAGAGATTTTCCAATCGAAGGTTTCAGAAGGCAGCTGCTGTCCACAAGAGGCTGGCTGAGAGCCATCCAGATGTGCCCTGTTTCGCAACATGTAAATCCTGCCTTCTAAGTGCACTTTCATCGACAGTAATGGAAGCAATTTGTACCTACAGTCACATATGTTCTATAAAGAGAACAAATTAAAAGTGGCATCAGACTCTCCCATTAATGGACTTCACTGGTTTCAGATCCAATACCAACTAAATTACTTGAGGCATCATCATATGCACTGTCTTCAGGCCATTATAGAAAAGAGAAATAAAACATGATGAAACATAGAAGATGAATAGAAAAGGCACACAACTGTTAACAGAAAACATTACGCACTACCATGTTTATAAAATAATACATTTTTACATTTCCAAAAACAGATTTCTATCTATCTAACTGTAATGCGTATGGTTCGTTGAATTTGGCAAATAAAAAATAGAAAATGGTCTTTTAAATTTTTTTTTATTTATGTATTTATATAACGTGAACATTGGATGGTAATGGTGATAAATGTACGGGTATCTTTGCTAAATTTGTATTAATTTCTTGTAGACAACCAACTGGAAAAATGTATGCCAACATAGCTGAGTTAAAAATACAATTTCTCCAATTTAAACCATTTTAAGTAAAATTTAAGCTAAATTATCATAATTTGCTGTTTAGTGAAGCTCATTTTTTTTTTTGGGCCAACATAATTTCCAGTAGTCTATTCATATTTTTTATTTGCTTTATTTTTTTTAGCTAGGGATGATTCACTTATTTTGTTTTCTGTCAATCTTGAAAGCTAATTGGACAAGCTGTCGGAAGAACAACATTGAGAATGCAGGTTCAGGACATAGATTTTAAATTCTTATGACCAGGGATTGCGGTTGGATCTTTTTCTAGATTCCTGGAATATATCATAAAGATCTGGATTTCAACTTATTAGGGCACTGATTAGGACGTGGATATTGTTATGAGGAACAAGAGGGCAACATTGTAACTTAGACTCTTTTAACAGAACACAAGGAAACATGTATTCACACCTAAACACCAAAATGATCCCCATGCTTGTTTTTAAAAAAAAAAAAAAAATATATTAAATCCAAATTTCTTTACCCTAATGGAGATAGTTACAGAAAAGAGTTAGTAACCAGTAACATTCTCTTTTTTTTTAAACAAGCATATATTTCTATACACTTATTTTTTATTTTACTCAATGTTGAAGCTATTTTGAATCAGCATCCAAGTTCGGTCAGGTGTGAAATTAAGTAAATTTGAATAGTTTTGCTTATAAAGATCCAAGTGATACTGTATGTTGGATTACTGCCAACCCACCGAGCCATACTAATTGTCCCCAGGCAGAAAAAAAAACTGTTTTTATTTAGCAATGTGGTTTAACAATTATTTCCAATGGAAGGCACATTTTTTTAAATAAACCCACAATAAATTATTTTCTAGCTGTAGAGGGAATTTCAAATGTAAGAAGCCAAAATGAAAGCATAGCTGACTTTGCAAATTTTTTCCACTTTCGCTACTTTGACCTTAAATTTAAAATTCACTTTGAAAGAATTCCTGACACTTATCACTTTAGTAAACAGCATTTACATTATCTATTTTATTAAGTTTAATTACTATAAAAACGTACTTAAAATTTTTTTCTTAAGTGGTATGGATAAAATAGCTCATTTGGTGCAAGCACTAGTTGTTCAGAGTTAACTCAACGTATCATTCTTCTGAGGATCACATGATGAGTACCAGTGATTTGGGTAGAAATACATTCTAAACTCACATATACATGAAAAAAAACAAACAAAAAAAACCATCAATGGATTATTCCTTGTGTTTTTATTATTGTAAGAAGATTTAGTTATGTTGTGGGTCCCCTGAGATTACAGATTTGTTCTTTAATAATGTTTAGTTAACTGTAGATCATGGGATAGAGTGGTACTTTGTGTCTTTGGCGTAATATCTCCTTTCAGTGTCTGGCACTTACACCGCCACTATACAATCTTTTAGACCAGGAATAGGCAAAGTTTGCCACTACAGATGTTGTGGAGTACATCTCCCCCGGCACTTTGTAAGTATTATGACTGTAAGAGCATTATGGGAGAGGTAGACTACAACATCTGAAGTGCTGAAGGTTGCCTATTCCTGGTCTGAAAGATTGTGGAGTGCTGAAGGTTGAATGCTCATGTTATAATGCTACACATTATTGTGATGCCAGCCAAAACACTGTACCCCAAAAGCATCACAGACATACATGTGTCTTATTAATATTACCAATCTCTCTTTCTTTGAAACATAGAAACATAGAAACATAGAAACATAGAATGTGACGGCAGATAAGAACCATTCGGCCCATCTAGTCTGCCCAATTTTCTAAATACTTTCATTAGTCCCTAGTCTTATCTTATAGTTAGGATAGCCTTATGCCTATCCCACGCATGCTTAAACTCCTTTACTGTGTTAACCTCTACCACTTCAGCTGGAAGGCTATTCCATGCATCCACTACCCTCTCAGTAAAGTAATACTTCCTGATATTATTTTTAAACCTTTGTCCCTCTAATTTAAGACTATGTCCTCTTGTTGTGGTAGTTTTTCTTCTTTTAAATATAGTCTCCTCCTTTACTGTGTTGATTCCCTTTATATATTTAAATGTTTCTATCATATCCCCCCTGTCTCGTCTTTCCTCCAAGCTATACATGTTAAGATCCTTTAACCTTTCCTGGTAAGTTTTATCCCGCAATCCATGAACCAGTTTAGTAGCCCTTCTCTGAACCCTCTCTAAGGTATCAATATCCTTCTGAAGATACGGTCTCCAGTACTGTGTACAATACTCCAAGTGAGGTCTCACCAGTGTTCTGTACAATGGCATCAGCACTTCCCTCTTTCTACTGCTAATACCTCTCCCTATACAACCAAGCATTCTGCTAGCATTTCCTGCTGCTCTATTACATTGTCTGCCTACTTTTAAGTCATCAGAAATAATCACCCCTAAATCCCTTTCCTCATATGTTGAGGTTAGAACTCTATCAAATATTCTGTACTCTGCCCTTGGGTTTTTACGTCCAAGATGCATTATCTTGCACTTATCCACATTAAATGTCAGTTGCCACAATTCTGACCATTTTTCTAGTTTACCTAAATCATTTGTCATTTGGCTTATCCCTCCTGGAACATCAACCCTGTTACATATCTGAAACTATTTATCTTTTTATATCAGATCTACTAATGTGTTAGTTGCCTATTTTATGTTACCAGTCAGGGAAATCGTTGGCATTTTGGTGATATTTTGACCAGTAGGGTGCTAGTCCTCTCCTCGGTTGCAGATGACTTTGGTAATCATTGCATATATTGTCAGTAAGTTGTTGTAAGGCTTGTATATTTTACATGATTAACAATCACAGATTTCAGTTGGGATAAGATATTCTTCTAACTTATTCTTATGGTGTGCCCCCAAACAATGGGGCTAAAACCACACAATATGTTGTTTTCAGCCATGCAGGAGACTCTACTCTAACCTATTCTATACCTCAGACACCAGAACCTTTAAGAAATATATGCAGTGAAATACAGATTGAATAAAGGAATTAAGGTCCAACAGACCACAGTAGGAACTGGAGGGGTTTAGTTAAGTAGTTGGTATAGAAGTATGCAAGCTAGTATGTTGTAAACTATAAGAATACCAGCATATTGGCCAATCAAACCTGTTACAGTGATTTAACCCCTTAAGGACCAAACTTCTGGAATAAAAGGGAATCATGACATGTCACACATGTCATGTGTCCTTAAGGGGTTAAAGCTTGGCATCTTTGTTAGAACCCATGTATGTAATGTGTAATAAACTTCATAAATATTCGCTTTAATCACTGCAGATAAAATCCAGAAAGTAAGTGACCAAACACTTGTTGATATTGCAATTATTTTGTCTTTTGTTTAGTTCTAATGAGATTGATGTCAAAGCTCTAAATTATGTGATTGTGTTTTTCAGATATCCCTGCAACGTACTTCCATTTCCAGAAATGTATACTTATCATCGGGAAATCATAACACTTCTATCAATTCTCTTCAGGTAAGATAGCCACAGCATTTATCTTCAAACTTTATCTCTTTGTTTAACCCCTTAACCCCCTAAGGACCAAACTTCTGGAATAAAAGGGAATCATGACATGTCACAGGACCAGTTTGGTCCTTAAGGGGTTAAGGTAGTCTTTGTTCATATCAGCCCAAAGAGAAATAAAATAAGGAATCTGGCTGGTGACAGAACTGTATCCCTATTCAGCTAAAATAAAGGTTCCGCGTTGGTTCAACTGTTAGAGAAGACAAGACCACTTGCCTACACTATTCGTCCAGTTGATCAACAACAGGCTCACGTCCACATGAAAACTTTTGGCACTGCATATGAATACACCTGAAATATTTCTATTGAAGGGAGGGTACCTCTTTCTGAATTGAATTTATTTTTTTCCCCCACACCGTGATATCCCTTTTTACTTGCAGAGCTCAGGGAAAGCTCTTTGTCTACTCAATATTGGACAGTTATTCTTGATCACCGACAGCATGCAGCACTGCAAGCCCCATTTATGATATTACGGAGGCCCTAATGCAATACTAATTTATAGCAGGAATTGGGGCAAAGTTTGGCCGGGAACACTCTGATGATGCTCCCAGCAAGTCACTGCCTGCTTCCCTGGTACGGCCTGAAGAGGGACATTGCTCCATGTCTTCCATTTCATTAATGGGGGTGACCTGCAGGGTGCTGGGAAGCATGCATCTTTGCTAAATGGTTAGTAAACCATTTAGTGGTGATGCAGGACCTGTGCCCACAGACTTCAGGCACCATGACCTCGTCAACCTATGAAGTGGTTATTGTACCTACAGTGTCCCTTTAACGTGCCTGCAGGATAATATAATGCCATCATTCATTCACATCACACAAATAAACAGTAGATGAGACACTTTGTGTATTATTGATATTTTTTATATTTTCTATTTATTTTCAACAGCATGATGCATTTTTCCTTTGTAAAAGCTGATGGTGAAATTCTTCCTCCAACTATTCAAAAGTTAATGAAAGGATACAACAAGTACCTGCGCCCATTTTTTGATAGTAAGTGCTACTTGTCATAAGCTTACCTGTACTGCAATGTGCTGCTTTTGAAAGGTTTGACTTTTTACCTGAGGTCCGGGTGCTACCTTCACTAAAAATGCTGAAGAGCTGGAAGTTCCTGAGTAGGAACTCACATTGTGAGCTTTACAGGGTTAAGCCCACTGCAGTGTATCACATAATCACTAGCCGTAGTCCTTATGGTGCTTAAACTATTCCTTTAAAAGTTGTTTTATAATTATTTATTTATTTTGCAAAACAACTTCACAGATATCAAGAGTACAATTTCAGGGCTGTAAAAGCTATTTTTATGTTTACATAGCTCTTGAAATCAGTATGATGTGGTTTTTCTTGTGTCTTTTTTTCTGTGTTTATGTAATGATTACTTTACCTTATTTTCTTCTCTTCCGGTTGCCAAAATTGATTTTACCCCTTTGCTCAGTCAATTGTGAGAAAATAACATTGAACATTTAAGAGACTGTGACAAGAATAAGACAAATACCAGCAGGGTTGACTCATCCATCCGAGGTAGATAAAATGAGTACCATTAAATTGGGTAATAATAACAACCCCTGGATGTTAGGCTAAATAACAACCCCTGGATGTTGGGCTAAGGTAGATAAAATGAGTACCATTAAATTGGGTAATAGTAACAACCCCTGGATGTTGGACTAAGGTAACATTCCCAGAATGTACTTAAAAAACATAGTAATTTGAATGTACCTTTCCTGGTTAAATACTTTGTTATTATTATTTTAACTAAGTTGTCATGATGTCTGGAGGATCTGTTCTTTTACTAGGCCAAAAAAACAAAAACAAATTTGCTTCAAATATAACAATACAGTGTGAATAAATGCAAAGAAAAAAAAAATCATCTTTCAACCCCTCCCCCCAAAGAACTGCAATCCTGGAATTATTTCATCCTTCTTATATTACAGTATTCTTATCAGAAAATGTGAACTTAATTACTGTCATATCGATACATTGTATCCCTTCTAGTCCGTATGGACACAGTATGGTGGGAGACATGAACCGGTGGATCTAGACACATTGGGTGGGGATACATTTAAACTTCTTGTATTGGTCAGATCTTTACACCACCTTCTCTGTCAGAACATAATATACAGCCCTAGTGACCCCGCAACAAAAATGCCTTGTATGGTTTGCTTAGCTATGTGGCAGAAAATATCTAGATTTTTTTTCACTTTTACTGTTTGTATGTTTTGTTTAGTTTTTTGTTTGTGTGTTTGTTTGTTTGTTTGTTTTAGCTGGAAGCTGTTTTCATTTTGTATACAGATAAAAATAATTAAAGGGTTTCTTCAATCATTGTAATATTTTCTGGACACACTGGAGCATTTGTTCCTCCTGATGCCGAGACTGGGAGAAGAATACAATTGTATCCCAGGGTTAAAAATGAGATACAAATAATTGTAAATATACTGATTTTCTTCTGAAATATTCTTTGCTACTTGTGATACTTTCAACAGTATTTTAAGAGTGAACCCGTTTTCTCTACAAAGCTTCCCCATTGTGCATATCAATAAAGCTACATGGTTGAATGCACAAGACTAAACAATTTTAACCTTAAACAGATTTGAAGATTTGGAATAATCAGCAAGAGATATTATAAAGCATTCCAAGATAATGTCCCCTGAAGATATCCACCGAGGTTTTGCTAAACTACGGGAGACAGTTTGATATTTATTTCATATATTTGCTTTTCTACATTTCCCTCTGGTCATTTGTTCTAATCTCAACTGTCAAAGCAATATATAAAGATTTATACATATATAGTTATGAATTATTAATATGCATCCAAATAAAAAAAACAGCATGAGAACTAAATATTTTTAAGAGCTGAATCTTCAATAGTTTGTCAAGATGTTCTGTCAAAAATTTTTGTTCTATTATAATTATAGGCCCTTTTTAACATAGTAATGAATTGCTACTTTATTGCTCTATAATGTATTGTCTTTCCACGTGATTTTAGAGTAATGATTTAATTATTATTACATTTATCTAATGTTATGGCCATTTTAAATAATTACTATATATTCAATCTTAGAACGGAATGCAGAGATTCTTTTAATTATTCATATACAAGCTACACCATAATGGCCCTCTACATAATTATTTTATAGAAAGTTCCCTTTCAACAAAATATTACCTGTAAAATGGTCTGCTAATTGATTCCACTGGGTTCTCTTATTTAATACTATCAAATTATTTAATCACTCAAGTACATTAGCTTTGTCTGGTTCTCACTTATGTCCTGGGGTTAAGATGTTATTATTACCAACTGAATAGTTCTTATTTTATGAACCTTGGGAGGATGATATAGTCTGTTGGTAAAAGCAGGAATCAAACTGCTCGAGAAACTTGTACCCTGGACACTGTAGGTCAACTAGTGACCACTGAACTATTACTAGTAGTTAAAAGACAACTGTTGCCTTAAAATCTAGTGTTGATTTTAAAGACAACTGTCACCTTTCATCACGTTTTGAAAGTAAATTGATTTTTTCAAAAAGTATAGGTAAAATTTTTTTTTGAAAAAAAACCTAATTCTTACCTTTAGTATATGACAGGATCCTTCAGCAACATACATACATCTTGTGTCAGACAATGTTTGAAAACCAACAGTTAGTCTCTATGGTCTTTCCTGCTTCTGTGTAGGTGATGAAGCAGGGGAGACTATAGAGACTGTTAGTTTTCAAGTACTGTCTGATCCAAGGTGCATGTATACGGCTGAGCGTCCTATCATATACTAAAGGTAGGGATGAGGTTTTTTGTTGTGTGTTTTTTCTTTTTTATATACTTTATTAAAAAAAATATTTCTTTTCAAACGTTGATAAAAGGATTATTATATTAAAAAATAGTTTGAGGTGACAGTTGCCCTTGAATAGTCACTTGCTTGAAACTTTTCTTCGTGTGGAACTCACACAGCTTTCCATCTGAACAGATTGTTAAAAGATAGATGACGAGGCTTTCATTGAATGTTTCAGAGAAGAAGTGTGTGTGTGTGTGTGTGAGAGAGAGAGAGAGAGAGAGAGAGAGAGAAAGAGATAATTTATTCTTGAAAACTTCAGTAAAAGGACCTCATACGCTCACAGAGTCCCACAATGTGAGAACCACATGACTGAGTGAGGTGGACCCTGATCTGGTTCATGTTGTAGGATCTTTAATAATTGATAAGTTCCCTAAGATGGAATGTCAGAAAGAAATGCTGTTTCAGGTACCATGGATCGTAATTATTTATTTTTAGATTTTTGATTGTCCTAAAAAACTTGATTCTTCTTGAATAATTCTCTGATCTTGGTCTGTAAGTTGATGTTGAATCCATTTTAGAAAACATACAATTATAGATCCAATCGATACCTAATTGATGATGTCACTTTGCTTCTCATCACTCAGTCCATGATGTTTTTTTCACTTACCTGTGTACTTACAGATGGCATCATTTGCTGATTGTCACAGCTAGTAATAAATAGCTAAAAAAAAACATTTTTTCATAGTACATTGTGTTGAGAACCTTCATATTGTATCAGAAGAGAAATTCATAAATGAAAAAAAAATATATATGTAGTAAAATACATAACGTACCTGTCTTTTTTACATAGAGGCAATTTTGTATTATCTGTGTAATACTCCCAACAGACCATTTATCCCAATCGCCGTTAAATTTTCTTAATGTAAAGTAGATTTCTCGATATATATTAATGTAATATTCTAGCAACTTGCAATTGCTGTGTATTGAGTGTTCCAAAAATGAAGTAAACTAGCCTGGCCATTACTGATTTGGTTTAAACCCCAGAAAACACACAGGTTTATTCACACAAGTGAGATTTCAAAGTAAATTTGAAGGGAATTTTAATTTTAAGGTCAAAATAGCCCACCTTGAAAATTCTCTAAGCTAAGCTTTCATTTTAGCTACTGAATTAATTTTAAATTCACTTCAGTAAATAAGTCTGACATTGTTTCAGTACTCCATTAGAGTAAACATTTCTTTCTTCGTCATCCAGATAAAGACTGTAAACTTGACCATCTGATTGGACCCTGTATGTTGCTTGTCTAATGATGGTGTAGAACAAATCAAATGACTTTTTTATGATATCAGTGAATAGAACACAATTAATTCAGAAATATATGTTTTTCTTATAATGTCAAATAAAGTTATAAATGTTACATTACAATAGACTTTCCATTATAAGATCAAGTCACTTTGAACAAAAATCTAATGGTCGGACATAATATGACATTTAGGTTTTTATTTCATGAAATTGTTTTTCAGTTTGGGCATTTTAATTCTTTTGTGTGCATTCTATGGTATTTGAGTTGATAATGATTTGATTGGAATGTGTGTTTTCTCCACGATGCTACTGTGTTTGTGTGTAAATCTGATGTCCTCTTATTATAAATTCTGGCGCTTGCTTACAAATCCCTACATAATGCTGCTCCAACATGCCTATCCACCCTCATACACAAGTATGTCCCATCGAGGCCCCTACACTCTGCCAAAGACCTACGCCTATCCTCTGCCCGGATCCCCACCTCCGATGCTCGCCTTCAAGACTTCTCCAGGGCTGCACCTATTCTGTGGAACTACCTTCCCTCCTCAATCAGACTTTCACCCAGCCTCCACTCCTTCAAAAATTCTTTGAAAACTCACTTCTTCATTAAAGCGTATCAGTTAAACTGTCAGCAGGTTTCTCATCCCCCACCCCATGACTCCTTTCCTGCAACTGTCATAAATGACCTACGGAGCACTCAATAAACCCTTCTCTAACAAACTATTTAATTCCCCTCCTTTAACCCTTTGTGTCAGTATACCTCACTCCCTCTAGCATGTAAGCTCATCTGTTCCTGTACATCCAGTGGTCTGATCTCAATTATGTGTCTGTTAGTCCACCCATTGTGCAGCGCTACGGAATTTGTTGGCGCTATATAAATGTCAGGATCGTGACAGGGATCCAATACGCAGAGTGCGGACAGGAGGAGGTACGTATACCGGACCTTAGAATGGCCGGACTAACGTATAGACAAGACAAGAATGGTCAAAAGATAAGCCGAGGTCGAGGGAGCCGGAGGACAGGTAAGCGAGGAACAAGCCGGGTCTAAGGAGAGGAGAGAGAAGCAGGACAAAAGTACAAGCCAGGTCAGAACCGAAAAACACAAAGAGAGAAACGTGCTGAGTGACTAGCAAGCTAGAACCACGACAGGGCAATGAGTAGTAGTACAAGCTTCCCTTAAATACCCTGTCACCTTAATTAATGACCACGCCCCCAAAAGGTCCGGAATTGCGGTTTCTGGCGGTTCACGTTGATGATGACGTCATGACGTCGACTATTGGCCGTCGCGTCATAAAAGGGGGAGGAGCTAGCGCGGCCGGCGCGAAAACGGCCGAAAATGCCGAAATGCTTGGGCATAGGAGCCCTTTTGGAAGAGAGACTGTCCAGGTGCCTGACCTCCTCAGAGGTTGAAATTACAGGTACCATGACAATAAATAATAAAATAATAATAATAATAATTATCATACTCAAGTTTGTTTCAAGGTATACATGACTACACCATTTCATGCTCAATTCTCTGCCATTTAGGAGTTCAATCACTTTCATTTATACAGCCCTAACCACACCTCCCCTGCCTGTGACTCACACAACAGACATGCTGTTACAATGACAGCACATTGTGTTTACATTGGAAGTTACTATCCTATTTGAACAGTAATCACACACAAGATGCTGTTGTAGGCTCTAGAGGGCTATTGAAAGGACAGGGGATAATAAATTCTAAATTAAAAACATTACAATAAAGTTTGAGTTCTGATATAAACGGAGATGTGGTACATTAGAAAAGCAATATATTATGTTTACAAGGAGTGTTACCTGATTTGTGGTTTTCGTTATCCTCTCTACCATTTAGACAAAACACAGATTTCTGCTACATGGTCCATTCATCTATCCACTCTCATCACTCTCAGTTGATTTATACTGGAAACAGCTCAGCTTGGTCTGCCATTTGTTTCTTTGTTTGTATGCTATAGCTTACTCTTGTTTTGGAAAGGTTATTTGATAACATTATCTTTCAGTAGTTTATATAGACAGTAGTAGTTTACATAGGGTCCAATCTTTATTTCACTATGCAGAAAATGAATGTTTACACATTATAATGATATAGGTAGTGAACGCAAAATAAATAATACAATTAAAAAGCCTCTACAAAGAGATTTTTTTTGCCACATAAATCACATGCAGGTATATATTTTGCATATATCAGTAATTTTTATTTCGTGTATCTACTTAAAAATGCATACTGTACAATCAAAATAAGGTATTATTTATCAAATGCCTATAACAACTCTTCCATTCCTGCAAAGATAACGTCAAATTAAAAAAAACAAAAACGAAAACAAACAATAGTGCAGTCTCTTACATTAAATTATTACTTTGGAGCAGCAGAACATTATATAATTTTGAAGGTAAAGTAGGACAATGCAGAAGAAGAATATTGATTGTTTTAAGTGCCTAACCCAAACATTTACTTTGAATGCCTATGTATATATCCCCTGAGACTTTCTTTTACATTCCACAATAAAACACAATGCAGTTTTTTCTGCTCCAGTGTCACACTAATGCCCTCTATCCTTTCTTATATAAAATGGGTATACATTTGTTATTAGATTTTGCTGAATTTTACATCTCCTAACTTGATCTTCTGAATATCATTGTTACTTTAACAACCCAATCAACTAATTAATACATCTGGACAGAATTTGAATGCTTGGCAGTGATAGGGATACAACCCATAAACCAATAATCCATCTTCTCCTTAATTTTGAAGTTGTCAACTTGAGACAAAAAATAAAAAAAGAAGTTAAAAACTGGTAACTTAGTCAAATTAAGATTCCCCAGGGACCTAGACAGAATGCCAGCTCAGGATCACTCTTAAAGCTCTGGGCTCTGTTCTGTGAGTGTTGTGTGTGTGGTGGCTGGGTGTTATATGTGTATGGGGGAGATTGAGTGTTGTACATGGGAGAGTGTGTGTAGTGGCTGGGTGTTCTGTATATAAAAGAGGCTGTACATAGAGGGGGCTGAATATGCCTGTGCTTGCGTGTATGTGGTGGCCTAATTTTGTTTCTGGATTTGTCTGTGTATGTCTACATGTAGGAGAGTCTAAATGTAACTACGTGGTCCAGTGGAGGACATTATGGGCTGGATCCCTGGTGTTACAGTGAAGGGTTCACCCTTCACTGGACCATAAGAGGTCTTTCCCATAATGCCTTCCACTGGGTAGAAGAGAAGAATGAGCTGGAAGCAGGATCCCTGATAGTCCAGTATGGGATCATTGTGGTAAGCACCAAAATTTGGTCCAGATCACTTTAAAAGCTCCCTTGCTGTTCGGTGCTTAGTCAGTGACTAAAAGCCCCGACTGATAATATGTGTAGTTCCTATTTTTTTTTTCCCTCTGTGCTACAAATTCTTTAAAAAATCACAAAGCATTTTCCAAATTTTGTCTGCAAGGTAATATTTGTAGTTTGGTATTTTTTTCCAATGTGCTGCATAATCTTAAAAAGTCACAAAATATCCAAAAGTGGTCTGTGATGATCCATTTTCACAACCAGAGCAGGAGTGGGAATTTCTACATTTAATTTTATTTTTCATAATTCACAAATACATATTTGCTAAATATATGCGCTAAACAAAATGTAAAACCTTGGGAAGTGATATTTCCCCTTTAGCTGTTAATACAATAACTAATTCTCTTCTTGACTCTGTTAATCCAGTTTTAGGAGAAGAATACTGGATTGTCCTAAATAAATAATCTCAGAAAAAAAAACCTGAATTTTACAAACGCTTTTCTCCCCATCTATATCCCTCAGTCATTAAGATCATTCATTATTTCCTTTCTAATTAATATTAGATTACCTGTACTTGTTATGCGTTTGTTTTTATAAATGCTTACCCCTAAATAATTTACACATTCAACATTGAAATGAGACTGTAGTTAAACAAGCTCTGAACTGCAGATATTTACGCACAACACTTGAGATTTTTTTTGTTATTAAAGAAAAAACCTAAGTTTCACCAATTGATGGAAATATTCCATCATGATTCCCTTTTTTTTCTGAGCTTGTGTCCTTAAGGGGTTAAAACTAAAAAATGTGTGTTTAATAAACATATGCATTTATCCATTCTTCAAAATAGTTTTCCTAAGTCCCTGAAGTTCTACTTCTTGTGAAAGTCCCACATTTATCTACACAGTTTTCAGAATGCTGACTTCTTTGGGGACGCAGCGAGCATTTTTTGAAGCTATAAAAACATACATGACAATATTTATTAGTAAAATGTTTCTACGATTTAGGGATTGATAAGTACGGAATAAGTACTCTAATAGGTACTGCACATTTTGAAGTCTCATAAGTGAAAATGATGTTAGAATGTTAGAAGTCACATCATTGTTATCTATAAATAATAATTGTAGTTTTTGCTGATCCAGTCGATTGAACTATTTCCATGAAACATCACATTTGCCTCTAATTGCATTGTGTAGAACTTCCGTTGTACATATTAGAAGAAAATGGTAAAACATCTCACCATATAATGAAAGGGTCTGCCGAAGCACCAAAATGACTCCAATTTAATTAAATATTTAAAATGCAAATATTATTCCCCTTTAGTCTCACTGTTCAATTATCTGCCATGTAGGATTTAAATCAATTTATTTATTACTGGCATTTATAAAGCGCCAGCAGCACTGGTTAATGCAGCCCTAGCCATTCCCCCCTCCACCACCGCTGCCCTTACCCATGGCTGTGACTCACGCATCCTCCCTACACACTAAAAAAAAAGGTTTTTTTTGGAACATGTCATAACAGAGCATGCTTACTGTTGAAGTTCCTTTGGAGATATGTATCATTGTAATCAGTTACTATGTTGCGTGCTAATTTGGACATAACACTTTGAGACACATAGTAAATAATTTTAAAGGTTTGTCCAAAAATATTAACTAATTTGAAAAGGTTTAATAAAACCTATTTAAAAGCATATTTTTGGACCAGCACAATGTGAGTATTTAATTGTATTCATATAATTAATAACATATTTAGTACTTATCAATTCTTAAAATTAGAAACATTTTACTAATAAATATTTTCATGTATAAGGAGAGGTAGTAGCAGTAAAAACAAGCCATTGTACAGAACACTGGTGAGACCTCACTTGGAGTATTGTACACAGTACTGGAGACCGTATCTTCAGAAGGATATTGATACCTTAGAGAGGGTTCAGAGAAGGGCTACTAAACTGGTTCATGGATTGCAGGATAAAACTTACCAGGAAAGGTTAAAGGATCTTCACATGTATAGCTTGGAGGAAAGACAAGACAGGGGGGATATGATAGAAACATTTAAATACATAAAGGGAATCAACACAGTAAAGGAGGAGACTATATTTAAAAGAAGAAAAACTACCACAACAAGAGGACATAGTCTTAAATTAGAGGGACAAAGGTTTAAAAATAATATCAGGAAGTATTACTTTACTGAGAGGTAGTGATGTCGTGAACCGTTTGCGAACTTCCCGTGAACGGCTCGCTGCGGTTCGCCACGAACCGTTCGCGGCGAGCTCCTGTCAGCTGACACATCCCGGCCAATCTCCAGCAGACCCTGCCTCCCAGACCCTCCCACCTCCTGGACAGCATCCATGTTGAAGGCAGCTTCAACATGGATGCTGTCCAGGAGGCGGGGAGGGTCTGGGAGGGAGGGTCTGCTGGAGATTGGCCGGGATGTGTCAGCTGACCGGAGCTCGCCGCGAATGGTTCGTGGCGAGCCGTTCGCGGGAAGTTCGAGAACGGTTCGCGACATCACTACTGAGAGGGTAGTGGATGCATGGAATAGCCTTCCAGCTGAAGTGGTAGAGGTTAACACAGTGAGGAAGTTTAAGCATGCGTTGGATAGACATAAGGCTATCCTAACTATAAGATAAGGCCAGGGACTAATGAAAGTATTTAGAAAATTGGGCAGACTAGATGGGCCAAATGGTTCTTAACTGCTGCCACATTCTATGTCTCTATGTATGTTTTTATAGCTTCCAAAAAGGGGAAATATAGGACAGTCTTGCCTCCGTTATGAAACTCTAAAATACACAGCCCGAGATTGACACACTGGCCGATGGATTTGTGTTTATTGACCTCACTCTTCTGAATAAATAAGGTTTATTGATTTTTTCCAATACTTTTTCTGTGTATCCCCAGTGGAGTCGGTCTGTGACAGCAGAAGGTATTCATTTTTGAATAAAATCAACTTGATCATAAGGAATTAGAGGGGCATTCAATTCACACAGTAATAACTACAGAAAATAATATTGTCAATAAAACAGACAGGTAACACATTTGATTTAGATACTGGATAAAATGATCATGTGTTCTACCAGGATATATAAGCAAAAAAATAAAAAGTTTTGAAATATAAACATTATAGAAATAGTAAAACATGCATATCATATAATTAGGTTTAAGATATATTTTAAAGTTCTATTCTAACCAAGTAAAAAACATATTACTCGCATAATATATGATTGCCTCTCAATTTATTCTGGTGTAGTAATCAACAATTTGATTTTGGATGAGTTTGATGTTCATTGCGAAGAGGTATTTGACAGTGTGATTTATTTAAAGTCTTAAAATTCTGCAGATTTGTTCCAAAGTACTGTGTCATCTTCCCCATTCTCCTCTACCTATTCAGGACAGTAACAAGCTCTGCTGCATAAAACGAAGTGTCATATATTAGTAAAACATATTTAACATGCCACTAGAACAATTTTAGCTTTAATCATCCATATAATTTATTTATTATAGCTCTTATAAAATGTTGACAAATGAAAAAAAAATCTTTAAATTAAAAATGGTAAATTATGTTTAATGCTCTGAATTCCACGGACAAAAGTGGTTCAAGGTTCTCAAGACTAAATTAAACTGCAAAGACATTTACTGATACATTATGTAAGTCTTATAGTTTATGAAAGGAACACTGAAGTACCATAACCACTACAATGCACTGTAGTGGGTATGGTGCCAGAAAGGCCCTGGTGCTCTCGATGGGTAAGTAGTCAAACTGTTCTCACCTGGTTTGATTACTTGCCCAGGCACTAGGGTACTATTGGCATCATAAACAATACAGTAGTGTTCTTTTAATATATTAAACATTTTACATTCATCTGTGGAGCCTTTACAGATAAACATGAGGATTGTGTGCATTATGCCCCATAATATACTCAGTCCCCAATTCTCTACGCAGCACATAGCTCTTTTATTTATCCCTGACGGTGATATCAAGTGTATGAGGGACTAGTGAGACCTGTTGAAGCAGTTTAATTATTCCTATTTACCAGGTAAGATATCCTATGGGGTACTTTCAATTATTTTGAGAGTGTAGCCACTAAAGAAGCAAAGACAATCTATTTGTCCATCGTTATAGACCACCATAAAGATAAGTCATAATGGAAGCTCCAGGCCCTTCGGGAACCTAGTACTGAGTTACAAAATATGATTTTACCCCCGACCTGCTGCATATTATGGGGGTGTAGAATGGACATAATAATAGTAGTCTAGGGAACTCATCGCCTAATTTGTTTATTTCGTATACGGTAATGCTTCATCAAACCCAGTTAGTTGGCCCCATAGTTGTACTCTTTTGGGGGAACTAAAATACACTTTGGATTGATGTGGATGCGATTCAGTTTACAGCTCATTTACATCACAAATGGTTTGGCAAATTTCAGAGGATAGTTAATTGAATATACTCCAAAATCTTCAATTAAATTGCTTCAGTTATTTCATGAATTGTAGAAAAAAAAAAAGAAGAGCTTAGTGAATAATGTAATTCATAAATAATACGTTATGAGGCAACTTTAATGTTTGCTTCAAAGATTGATTTAGTGAGCAGCTTTTTCATATCTACATAATAAAATCTATATAAAATATTTATTTATATATTTTTTTTGTGAAAACAATATTTTTGACTTTATCTTTTTATGTTTTTTTTTATTTAATGGATTAAGCTGTAAACAATTATGAGCTTTTGAAAGGGTGGGCTTCAATTCTAAGCCTTCAATATCCCTTGCTGATTTCATGACGTTGAAACCCCCAGTCGAAGGTTTTATCCTATTAAATTTGTATTTGGGGAACTAGTAACGCAAGCTCCTGTCATTATTGCATTTGATACATTTTGGAGTTATTAATATATTATTTTTTTGCATGCTTAAATCTTTATAGTTTTTGTATGAATTAAACATTTTTTTTCGCAGAATGCTGCTCCATAAGCTTGCCTCCTTAGCCATGCCTCCTCATTCCTGCAAAATACTTCCTTATCAAATGTATGTACACAGCTCAGCCAATTAAAGTGCTGAATGATCTCAACTGCAAAGCAACCTCTATTAGAAGTAGAGGACACTAAAGGAGGCATATAATAAGGATATTTATAGGTTGTGAAATAAAAGCCACTCACTCAGTGCTGTTGGGACTGAGACTGTTATAGGAAGTATTTTTCTACAGTAAGGGGGCATGGCTAAGAAGGCAGGCTTATGGTGAACATTTATTTTTTTGTGCAAAAATTATAAATATTTGATGATGCAAAAAAATACAGCATATTAATGATGACAAAATCTATTAGGTTGTAAAGGGGCACTATAGGCACCCAGACCACTTCATCACATTGAAGTGGTCTAGGTGCAGTGTTCCTATCCCCTTAAACCTTCAATGTAAAACATTGCAATTTCAGAGAAAATTTCTGACAGCCACTAGAGGCACTTCCTGCATTGTAATGGAGTTTAACTCCATGAAACTATATTGGATGCCCTAACCAACATCTTTAAAATCCCCATAAAAAAGGCACTGATTCCATGCATTACTATGAGAAAGCTCTAACGCACATGCAATGCTCACCAAGCATGCGCATTAGGCTCCCTCACTGGCGTGACTTCTCTGGAGGAAGAGACTGCTCCAGTTCCGAGGGACCTTGGCACTAGAACAGGTAAGTGTAAAAATAATTTTTAATCCTTAAATTATCAGATTTTGGGGGGGTCAGGGGGAGGCTGAAGAAATTGACAGGGGGGCACTATAGCGTTAGGAATACTGTTTTGTATTCCTAACACTATAGTTTTCCTTTAATGATGTCCTCATGACTCTGAAATATGTCCCAAGCCTTGTGGAATCACCCTATTGCTAAGTTTGTGGTTTGTTCACCTGCTCTACACAGGTTTTAGTATGCTCTGTGATGAACTCTTCACTGCCCAAAGTTTAGTCAATGTAGTCCTAGCCAAACCTCACATTGCTGAGACCCACTCAGCCTCTTAACACACTTCCTGAAAAAACATGTTTTTTTAATTGCAAATTATGTTTAATTTAGAATTTTGTAACCAGCAATAGCCTCTTGTGTGTGATTAACTTGAATTAACAGAGCAAGATATTAGAACTTCTAAAGTATGCACATTATGCTATAAGATCTGAATCAAAATGAACTCATTTTGTTTAAGTTCGCTATGTGAGTCACAGCCAGGTGAGGCGTAGCTAAGGGTATTTAAGAGGTTTGAACTTACGCAATCATATGTTATACCTTTGGTAAAGCATTTTTTCATTACATTCAATTAATTAAATAACTGTCTAACTTGAAGCAGAAGGATAGGCTTACAGTTGGTAGTGCAGGGGGGTGTAACTGAACATAGAAAGGGGCAAAAGGAGCATAACTAAGAGGAAGACAAGTAAAGTTGCATTTATGAGATTAGAAGGTTTGGTACAAAAAAGGTTTAGGATAGAAAGTGTCAGAGAAGGAAAGTAACACGTGAAGAAATGCTGAGAATATTAAGAAGAAAACTTGGCATGTAGATATGGCAGGGCAAGGAGAGAAAGTAGTTATATTGTTTAATAAAAGGGTTATAGATGAGAATAGGGATATCTAGAGGACAGAGATGAACTTTGGACAGAGAAGAAGATGGGACATCATACACAATTCAGAAAGGCTGACCAAGGGAGAGGAGAAAATATAAATACAAAAATTAATACATAATAGGAAGACATTTTCAGAATACTCCTGGAAACTGTCTAGTAACATATACATCTGCCCATACTTTAAATATATTTGGCCAACATATATTTATTTTAAGAAATCTCAAAAATATCTATTTAATATGTTATGTTATCCAAAGCATTTTATTCTTATGTGCGTGTCTCGTCTTGTTTTAGATGGGCCTGTGACGGTGGGAATGAGCTTGGACATTGCCAGTATTGACACAATATCAGAGATAAACATGGTAAGCTGTTATCACAATGTTACACTGGATGTGTCCCCTTCCTAAATCCTGCATCCTCACTCAGTATGCGTGGTTAATTCTACCAGTTAGTTTAATTTTCACTCTTTGGTGGAGCTGGTTTATCTTGACACTTTCAGAAGGAGGAATGAGACGAATGATTGTGAGCTCAGGGTAGGTGAGTGAATATTTATGACTGCCAAACAAGGGACGACTCTGATTTGGTCAATGTAGTGGTACCCAATAGCTCTAATATCTTCAGAGCTTTTATTATTTATTTATTGGAAAATGAATTGAGGAATGAACTCAAAGTATATACACTGCATTAAAGGGACTCTATAGTCCCGAAAATACTAATATATATATATATATATATATATATATATATATATATATATATATATATTTTCAACTGTAAGTTCCCTGCTAGTACAGTGACCTCTTTTTCTGTGGTAGTTTACATATCTTTTTTCCAGCCTCAAGACGCTGCCTTTCCAGTTGCCCTCTTCATCTCCTTCTTCATCGTTCCTCTAGTGTCTGTCAGGAAGAAAGCCACTAGAGTTATATTTAGACCTCCAAAATATACTAAACAACAATGTTTACATTGCAGGACTAAAATTACAGGGCCACCGCACCCATACCACTTCATTCAAATAAAGTGGCCTGGGTGGCTATAGTGGTCCTTTAAAACTAGGAACTGAGGCATGTAAGGGCATTACCAAAATGATGTACACTACAAAGCTGGATGAGAGGTTGAATTATAGAAGGGGCCGTACCCATGGGACTGATGATGACAGAGTTTTTTTAATGAGATGGTTGTATGTGTGTTACAGAGCAGTATTTAATGTTCATGGTTGCTACACTGAAAATTGTGCAATCCCAGTGATGTGATTCACCTGGTTAATTGTTGGAAATAATCAGTGGGGATGAGATGTAAATTATGAGATATGAAAACATTAAATTTCATCTTATATAACAAAAACAGTTTTAACAATAGAGAACAAGGTACATATTTTACAAAGTTGTATAAACACTCTGGCACTGTGTCAAAATAGTGTCTAATGTAATAATTACTTAAAAGAAAATTATAGTGCCAGGAAAACAAAATTGTTTTCCTGGCACTATAGCTTCCCCTTCCGTCTATACCCCCTCCCGCTCTGAAGGGGTTAATAAACCTCCCCCACCACCAGCCGCATATCGTCTAAAAACCCATCTAAGAATCTGTCTAAGAACCCGGGAGTCCCTCTAGTGACTGTCTGGTACAGCCACTAGAGGAGGACTTAACCCTTCAAGGTAATTATTGTAGTTTAAAAAAAACTGCAATAATTACATGCTCAGGGTTATGGGTGATGGGGGTTGGCACCCAGACCACTTCAATGGGCTGGAGGGGTATGGGTGCCTACAGTGTCTCTTTAACCTGTTACTTATATTTAAAACTATCAGCAAGAGATCCTATAACATTTCCTGTTATATTCTGTAAAAAATACTAAAAAAAAAAAAAAAAAAGGATTGCCTTTTATTTCCAAATGTACATATATTCCTCACTTATAATCATGCTTAACTTTTATTGAATAAAGAATAAAATGACTGTATCAACTGACACAGCATTATTTAACACATATTTGAACACTATATGTATAAACACATCTTTCCTTTTAAATAAAATAGAAAAAGCACCTAATATTGCATTTCTTTAGGATTACACAGCTACCATATTTTTGAGGCAGCGCTGGACCGATGAGAGACTTTGCTTTGAAGGCAACAAGAGTTTAAGTTTAGATGGACGGCTCGTGGAGTTGCTTTGGGTTCCAGACACGTTTATTGTAGATTCAAAAAAGTCATTTCTTCATGATATCACTGTTGAAAATCGTCTAATAAGGATTTATCCAAATGGAACAGTACTTTATGCACTGAGGTAAATATTCTACCATCTAGTTTAATAAATATGGGTTGAAGACTGCTTGCTCACACTGGACATAGCTCAGTCACATTTCGCTCCATATCTATGCTTGTCTCTGGTGGATTTTTATATTTGCTTGTTGGTAGTACTAGTCTAGGGCAACAGTAACGACTAAAGCTGTGAGAGCTTTATAATCCCAAAGATGGAATGGGCTTTTTAATCCTCAAAATTGGAGAGTATAACCATGTCCCAAAGCTTCCTTTTTTTCTGTGATGCTAGAAGCCAGCAGAGAATGGAAGGAATTCTGGATCTTGAACCTGAATCATTAAATCCTAGTTCATAATATTCTGAGCATGGCCCTCAACACCCTCTGTTCCTGTGCGTCCAACGTGTTGCAAATACATGTCTGTAACTCCACCTTTTGTACTGCAATATAGATTTGTTGGGCCTTTATAAATTTCTGGCTGAAGGAACGGTCTACTGATGCGTTGGGTAAGAATGAACAGTGTCCACTAAAACCTCAGTGTTTGGCTTTCATAAAATGTTTCTTCATAGTTTCTCAGAACTTCTAGAGGTAAACAAAAAAACTACATGTTGTTACTGAGTCCATATCATTGACTGATAAGTCAAGCAGATATATTTTTCTAGTTGAATGCGATTATGTCATGGGATGCTAACATGGAGCTAATGACCAAACCCATTCATGTATTACAGGATTACTACAACGGTTGCATGCAGCATGGATTTAACAAAGTATCCGATGGATAAACAGACCTGCACCTTGCAGCTGGAAAGCTGTAAGTAAATATCTCATTACCATTATCAGTAGATGTTCCCCCTGTAATAATCTTTTTTTTTTCTTGCACCATCCTTAAGAAATGAATATCATTGCATTCTGCACGCAATAGCTGCATTGTGTTTTATGTGTTCTGAAAGGCAAATGTAAGATCTTATCTAAATTATGCAATTCTATTCTGGAACCATGTTTAACCCCTTAAGGACCAAACTTCTGGAATAAAAGGGAATCATGACATGCCACACATGTCATGTGTCCTTAAGGGGTTAAAAGAGTAACTGATCAAGTTTTGAAACATAAACTTAAAAATAACGTTATTTGTCAATTACAGATTAACTTACTTTTAAAAAAAAATGACATTACAAAGAAACTATTTCAAATATTGAGCTGGAGAGCTACAAAACAAACATTTAGAATCATCAGTAGATGTAAGTAGGATCCCACTTTAACCCCTTAAGGACACATGACATGTGTGACATGTCATGATTCTATTTTATTCCAGAAGTTTGGTCCTTAAGGGGTTAAAGGATTAGTCTGAACACCATAACCACTTCAGTGTTTAGAAGTGGTCATGGTGCAAGAACCCTGTATGTGCACATGCTGAGATATTTTATGTTGGTACCAGAACTACTGTAATTCAACCTCGAGCAAATTCCATCAGCAAGTCCAGAACAATAGTTTTAAACTGACTAATGATAATTCTATGCATATTCTATGTGCAGAGATTAATTTATTGACTGAGAGAGCTCAGCTGAACCTCCCAACCAGTGAATGAATGGCAGTATAGACATTCTGAAGGGCTATGCAAGCCATCAAGGGGTATATTAATTTCATAATTTTAAATTTCACTTTCTTCGTTTTGTCTACTCTTAAAAAAGGAGAGAGAATTACAGATACTAAAATTCCAAGTTATATTTTCAAGGCTGTCAGATACCTATTGATCTCCCACAAATCTGTGGCTGCGGCCGAAACACAGCACGCTTGGAGTTGCTAGCTAGAAAGTCTGTTATTACTGTCCAGTGGAATTAACATCATGCAGCCTGTTATTCATTGGGATTCATCGCTCCCCTAATTTATATATTGTACAATGCATTGACCTCTTGGAAAATCTGATAAATCCAATTATTTTCAATGACTGTCTCTTTTTTAGTTTAGTTTTTAGTTTAGTGATCATAAAGGGATACTTCAATCATCATAATAGTAAGAGTCCTTGGGCAAGACACCTAATGGTATACATACCTCAAACCCTCATAGATTGTAAGCTTGTTTGAGCAGGGTCTTCTTTACCTCTAACATACCCTGAAATTCTAAAACACTGCAGAATGTGTGTGCACTATATAAATTGTAATAATAATACTAAACCCCTGTCTCAATATAGACAATTAAAAAGCAAAGGTGACTACTCCAATCTTAGAGAGTTACTCCAATCATCATAACCAGTACAACACGGGGTAGTGGTTATGATGCCATTACCACCCTGGCCTTGTTCCCCTTTAATGAGGCAAACTATTTAGCAACAGTCCTCTCCTCGCAGGTCTTAGATGCTCTCTAGTGGTCTTTGTGACATGCTTCTGCAGAGTCAAGACTGTAGGTCATTTATTGAAAGCATCAGACCATTCACACCTCTGCCAATGACTGGCATTGTGTGTAATAGCACAGAATTGGCATTAACCACCACACAGCCTCTTTCCTTCCTTTCCTATTAATCATATCATTCCCCCCTTTTCTTTCTCTTTAGTCTGTTTCCAAACTTATATTCTGCATTCTTTTTTTTTTTTACATAAAGCTACCCCTACTTAACCAACCTCTTAAACTGCTCTCTAAAATAAAATATCGATAAAACACATTTGAGAATATCCTCCTCTATATGTCTCAACAAAAAACTCCACTTTCCCCAAACATTCTTCTGTTGTTTCGTTACCTGGGCTGGAGTGACAAAGTTTAGTTATTGTTAATTTTAGACAATATGGAAAACTAAAGACCCTCCCCATGTCTATTATTGGCTGATAACATTAATCTATGAGTAAAGGGGAGGGGGAAAAGTCATTTGCCTGAACTGCAAATGTATGGTTTCTCGAAGGAAAAATGTATCTCTACATGCAAAAATTGCAGGTCAGCAATATGTTAAGAGTGACTAAATCTACATTTCAAATAACTTTTTAACACTTAACTGAATAACTATAAAATACATGTAAAAAGGCTAAAGTGCTTCTCTACTATAAATGCTTTAAAGATTTTCTGCTTGGTAAATCTTCTCCAATATGTATGAGTGCAACCACTTACGAAAGAGACCTGCGGAGCTCCATATTTAATTTATGAAGACCTGTTATGTTGATGTGCTAATTGGCTCACCGGGATAAATAACTTGCTTAGCCTATTTAATACCAGAAGGAAGAGCAATACCATACGTTTTCAAAAGGTTACACATTTTAGGGACACTTTTACCATAGGAACCTTGAATATCCAAACCTTACAGTTACCTGCAAGGCATTTGAACTCAATACAAAATATTTACATATGTATTCATGGCCACTAATTAGAAATTCCTTTTTATTTGTTTTCACTTTAGGAAAAAAAAGGTTGCTTCTTAAAGTCTTCATGGGGCAGCTAGTAGATTTTAGTATTTTCCTTATTAACTTTTAATCATATAATTAGTACCGGCAATAAAGAAGCAATGAGATGTTTTTTTATGTAAGCCCCAACTTACAGAATTTAGAGAATTGTAGACTATGTTCATTGGCATTAGGATGTCCATGTAACAAAAAAATGGGAGAAGAAGATGATGTAAAAGGAGAGTTCTAAATTCAAAATAACTGTCTTTTAAACCAGTCATTTCAAACCACCCAATGTCTGTGCTTCATAAATACTGTATACTTGTTAGAATATATGGGCCTTGATTTAATATTTTTGGATAGTCTTTACAAATGATTTAATATTAATTATAATATTCTGGAAAATATTTAATATTGAGATTTTTTGTATATATAATTTTTATATATGTTTTATATATTGAGATTTTCTGATGTATTTTAGATTATATTCAGTGGATATCATATTAACGAGTAAGTGGTTTCTTTTGTTACTATTTATTATCCTTGTAGTATCGTCATCACCATAGAAACCCCAAAAATCAAAGGGGGCACAGTCTTTTCCTTAAATAATAAAATCTGGAAAATATTTGTGATCGTACTTCTTCTAACCACACAGTTTTATACAGGCAAAAATAGCCACAATTACAGACAAGGTTCTAACTGGTATACGTTCAAGCGGAGCATAATGATATACAGTATATACATATATATATATATATATATATATATATAATGAAGCCTAATGGACTCTGTATAGGGGTCTCTCTAACACTCTGACCCACATTCACAATATAATAATATAACATCGCTCTCTAAAACCCAGCCCAAGTTGGCAGATGAATTACTGTTGCTGACTGGCTGATATGGCTGGCAAGCTGACTGCTGTGACTGGTATACTGCTGTGGCTGGCTAGCAGGCTGAATGCTGTGACCAGCTGGCAGGTTGCTGTGGCCGGCTAGCAGTCTGCTGTGGCCAGCTGGTTGCTGTGGCTGGCTGACAGACTGGCTGCTGTGGTCAGCTGACATGCTGGTTGGCTGCTGTAGCTGGTTGGCAGGCTGGCTTGAAGGTTTGCTGCTGTGTCTGGCTGGTCAGATGTCTGTGGCTGGCATGTGTGGCTGGCTGGCAGGCCTCTTTCTTCCCCCAGTGTGTCTCTTTGTGGACCTCTTTGTGTCTCTTCGTCCCCACAGCCTCTCTGTGTGTGTCTTTCTGTCCAACCTTATCCCCGCTGTGTCCCTTTGTGCCACAAAGCCCATCTGTGTGTCTCTTTTTGCCCCCCAGCCCTTCAGTGTGTCTCATTGTCATCCCTCAGCCCCTCTGTATTTCTCTTTGTGCACCCCATCTTCTCTGTGTGTCTCTTTTTGCCTCCCAGATCCTCTGTGTCCCTTTTCCCCCCAGCTCCTCCTGTGCTCGTCTTTGCATCCTTCCAACTGTGCCCTCCTTTTGCCCCGTTCCTTCTTTGCCCTTATTTAGCAACCTTCCCTTTTGTGCCCTTCTTTTTCCACACTCTCTTCCTGTGTCCTTCATTGTCTCCTACCCTGTGCCTGCTCAGCCTCACCTCCCTCTATGTAGCATGGGTGTGCATGCGGTCAGGGCCGGCGCTACCTGTAAGGCGACCTAGGCAGCCGCTTAGGGCGCAACTTAGCAGGGGGCACCGGATCCCTGCACCTGGAATCACCGGTGCGGCTCCAACATGAGCGCTCCCTCCTGCTGGTCTCTCAATGTAGCGTGGGCAGGCGGGTACCGGAAACTGAGGTTCCTGTCCCGCGTTCCGCGCCGCTCGGCCATGCTACATTGGCAGGAGGGAAGAGGAAGAGGAGGGTAAGGACCACTGGGGGAAGAGCGAGGGGGGAGTAAGGACCACTGGGGGGGGAGAAGGAGGGACTAGGACCACTGGGGGACACTAAGGACCACTGGGGGAGGAGGGGAAGGGGACACTAAGGATCACTGGGGAGGAGGGGGACACTAAGGACCACAGGGGGAGGAAGAGGGGGAGTAAGGACCACTGGGGGAAGAGGGGGAGAGTAAGGACCACTGGGGGGGAGGAGAGGGGAAGGTTCACTAGGGGTTTGCCAGAGGGAGGACCACTAAGGGGGGGAAGGGGAAGGACCACCAAAGGGGGGAGGGAGGACCACTGAGGGAGGAAGGGATGGAGAGAGGGAGGGAGGACCACTAAGGGGGAGATGAGGGAGTGAGAAGACCACCAAGGGGGCACTGCAGAGGGACAGGGGGCCAAGGGAGAGCACTAAGGGACAGAAAGGGAGAACGCTAATTGACAGGAGGGGAGAGCACTATGAATTTTTTTTAACAAACTAAAGAGCTGCTCCCCTCTCAGTCCCTAGCCTACCCCACAAACCCTCTCTTTTACACTACACACATACACAATTCATCCCCACACAAACACACACACACACAGAAACATACAATGCATCCTTACTCACACACAGACACACCCGAAACACACAATGCATCCCTTACGCTCACACAAACACTAATTCTCTTACACACAGAAACAAAATGCATCTCTTACACACTCAATGCACCCCTTACAGACACACACTGCATTCAATTACATACACAGAAACACACCTTGCATCCCTTACACACACACACACACAGAAACATACAATGCATTACTTACACGCAAACACACACTGCATCCACTATACACACACTACATCCCTTACACAAATTGGTATCCCTATACACTACATTCTATAAGAACACACACATTGCATCCTCTACAATAACACATAAAACATCCCCTACACACATACACTCCACTACCTGTGAGAGAACCCATGGGTGGGCCATGTAGGTGGATTTATGGGTGGGCATTGTAGGCATACTCACGGTCAAGCCCTGGGGGCCCAGACCTTGAGCTGTGTAAGGGGCCCCAAAAAATGGTGCTGCTTCCTGTTCTATACCAGACCTGTGGAGCCAGACTGAGCCCATCATCAGCCTCTTGTCCTCATCTGGTGGTAAGTACGCAATCCAATATATTATTAGTGGCACTAATCTCTAATTTACCTCACATTAAATGGATACGTTAGTCACCAGAAGCACTACAGGTTAATGTAGTGGTTCTGGTGTCTATAGCCTGTGCCTGTAGGCTTTTTAATGTGAACAGATAAAAGACACTTTGTGAAGACTGGTGTTGGCCCATATGGCAGAGCATATGGGCGGGGCATTGTGATGTCACATGGTGGGCAGGACATATGGGGGGTGGCACATTTTGTTTTTTACCTAGGGCGGAAAAAATCCTTGCACCGGCCCTGCATGCGGTCTGTGGTGTAGGAGCCTCTGTTTCCTCTACTTGCTCTGTCAGGAAGCAGTTTGTTGCGCTCAGTAAGCACTTACTGTCAGACTGGGTAGAGGAAACAGACTCTTCTACCGTGGTCTGCCTACTAGGCCATGCTACATGTAGTGACCGGCAGGAGAAGAGCACAGTGCAATTCGTTCTCCTCCTGCCAGGGCTCCCAGGGCAGACCGCCGGCCCCTATGTTAGAACACCACTGTAGATATACATATATCTATATATAGTCTTAGGTGAGGCTTATAGATAACTATATAGGATTTTTGAAAATAAAGAATGCATGTAGATTGGTTATTTAAGTAATCTCTGCTGACCTTTAATTTATATAAATATGCAATTTCTGACAAAACTGTCAACATTTTGCTTATTAAAAGAAAGGAAACAGAACATATCAAAGAAACTACGCTATGTATATGTATCAGTGTTCCAGTTTTTTAAGCTATGTGAAGAGGATAACAAGTGTTTTTTGGTTCTGTATATAACTTCTTGGTTCATATGTAAAGCAAAACATCCACCTATGTCCCAAGGCCAACTGTTCGTCAAGCTCTTGCAAATAAATTACCTTTTATGCTGCTGTGTTCAGCACTTTCAATGGCTTTACTTTATTTTTATAGATCTTGTAATTCTTGCTAGGACTGATGCATCCATTTATGCAATGCAGTTACTATCATGTTTATCTTTTTCTGTCTCCAGGGGGGTACAACATCAACGATGTCATGTTCTACTGGACAAGAGGAAATGATTCAGTTCGTGGACTTAACACATTACGCCTGGCACAATATACGGTTGAAGATCATTACACATCCGTATCTGAAGCAGTATATGAGACAGGTTGGTTGGAAAATTTGCTTTAACACAGATTCTTCTTGTTTTCCTTGACATGTGGTCCAAGAGAATGAATACCTTTCTGTTAAGACACCCCTAGTGTCTTTAAGGGAAACCGCCGTTTAGTTCACCTTCCCCTTTCGCAACTTCAGTAATCCATTCGCATCAATGTGTAATACACGAACCATAACCAGGGGAAGCGGTAATCTCCTGACCGAGATCCGTGAAAGGCTCCAAACTCCCGAACGGAAATCCACGAACTGCTGCTAGCCGCCGAACAACGATATCCACCAAGCGGCTTTCGGTTCCATCCAGCAGTCTCTAAGCGCAAAGAAGAAATCCCCCCAATAACGAGACAGAAGCTCCCCACTGAGGGTCAAACAGGATCTGGCTTTACTGTGGGCTACCTGCCCGTATTTATGCAGGTCTCCCACTTGGTGGACACTCCCCTAGGGGACCAAATGGGAGACTGGAATTACAGATGGACATGAAGACATTCCAGACATATAGTCACAGCCTTTACCCACAATGCAATATGGTTTCCTCCCCTCTGCCCTGGAGATAATTGAGAAGTAATTCAATTATCTCCAGGACAAAGACAAATCGCCATCCTAAATACAATACCAGAAAATACATAAAAATACATAACTTTAAAATAACTGAACATTTCCCATTCGCATCACATATCCCCAGATAACCTGGATCTGAGTGCATATTATTAGCGAATAGCGCTCAGATCCCACACACATAGTTCAATCGCCATGGAGTCAAAGTTCTTACAGTCTTTCGGTATGCGATTGACTCCATGGGAAGGCTATCTGGGGTAAGTCCTTTCGTGTGTTTCAAAACTCCCGAACGGCCGGTGTTCGTACGCTTTCGTGGAGGCAGCCAGGCGTTCCGTTGTTTCAGCGGTGTTCGGCAGAAAAAGTGTCAGTTTTTAGTTCCATGAAAATAGAGCCGAACACCGCTGGTCTTTCGTGTGTTTTAAAATGGCCGCTGCCTCGTGGTCGACATACGAACGACGACCACCCTGAATTCGGTTTAATTGAGAAGTGTCTGTGGTTAACCACAACTTTCTAATTGGGATCAATAGGTTAACCAGCAGCACACTTCTCTCCTGGGTGGCCATCCGTTCGGTAGTTTTGTTCGGGAAAAACAGTCATTGGTATGGCTGGGCTATAGGAAACAGCCATTTACACAAACGGGGCAGAAACAGACGAATCCACCACAATAAACAGACAGATGGTTCTGTCACACTTTCTTTAGCACTTTATTTCATGTGCCTCTCTGATTAAAAAATTGATTGTTTTTGTATTGTTTTGTATTATTATTTATATAGCGCCAAAGTGTGGCAGTGCTTTACAATGATAGAAATTGGATATGTAGAGGGGAAGAAGGCCCTGTTTAAATGAGCTTACAATCTATGAGAATTTCAGATAGGCAGATATATATTGTTTAGTGTGTTGACCATGGACACTTCCTGGTAAGATATTTGAACCTGGCTTTTCTGTTTCTAGTAACCATTTTATCTACTCAATTTCTTCTGAAAGGGGTAGTTTATGCACCTGGAAGGTCTAGAAACAATTTAAGGCCTTCCATTGTCTTTGCGTGGTGTAGATAAAAATGTCATGGCATTAGTTCTCCAACTAGGGTATAACCATAACTTCAAAAAATATTGCATTTACAGCCTAGGAGCCATTATCTTCAATCTGGTAACACATGTTTTTGCAAAGTTGACAAATATATATATATATATATATATATTTTTTTTTAAAACAGTGTATTGTATTCTTAGTGTTTTGTCCTCTGCAGTAGTCCAGAAGCATTGTATCGGCCTTAGTAGTCTTTTGATATTATCACATATTCCTTCGAGATAAGTAAGCACTGCCTACATGTGCTATCTTCAAGGAATGCGCCAGCAATCATGACTTAGACCAGAACTGTCACTTCTCTGGAAATTGCATTATAGAATAAAAAACAGAAAATCATCTTGACCTTGTGTTAACTGTCTTTCATGCTATGCTCAGTTTTAGTAAGTGAGAACATAATCCAGTTGAATCCTGTCTGGCACAGCCAGGGCATGCAATGCAAATGAGGAGGAAAACAGAAACATTGTTTCACTTTCTCTTTTTCCTCTAACTATGTTCAAATGCAGAAAAGGGCAACATTTATAACAATGACTGACAGGGAGCCGAGGAGTAGGCGCCCAATTCCACGATAGATGTGTACATTTCTACTAATTAAAAACACATGTATTAATTATATGGAATAAGTGACAGTTCCAATTAAGGTTTATTTTTAACCAGTTGTCCAGTAGTTGCACCCATTCTGGGGATTTGAACTTAAACCACTGAACTTATAAATGACAATCTTCAGAATACCGGTAAGGGTGCAAGGAGGCAACACTATATTCCTCAATGTGTTCATATTTAGCAAGTTGATAGGAAACGTTACATTGCTGCACACTGCTCCTACAGTAAATCGAATGTAATAGTTAGAAGTCTTGATGAGGTGTGTACTTAGTCCTGTGCCGGTTATATTATAATTAAGGGGACACCTAGGAAGTCTTCATGTAATACATTTGGGTACATTAGAAAATAATGTTCTTGAATAATAGAAATCATAAATTGAATGGGATCAGACAAATACAACAAGGTGTTCATTGTGCCAATGACTAGTGTTGTTAAAATACTGTGTATTGTGCCCACAGTTCACATGGTTCTAGGAAGAATCACAATACTGTACATTGTATTCACAGATAATGTGGTTCTATAAGCAATCAGGATACTCTACAATGTTATTAAAGCTAATGTTGTTCTAGAATGAATCAGGGTATTGGACATTGTATCCACAAATAATGTGGTTCTAGAAAGAATGGGGATACTGTACAATGTTATAATAGCTAACATGATTCTACAGGGAATTGTGAAATTGGACATTGTATCCACACAAAATGTGGTTCTAGGAGAAATCAGGATACTGTACAATGTTATAGTGTAATAGGTAACGTGTTTCTATAAGGAATTAGGATATTGAACATTGTATCCAGAGATAAGATCATTATAGATGGAATCAGGATATTGTACAGTGATACAATGGTTCTAGGAGGAATCACAATATTGTACATTGTATCCACACAAAATGCGATTCCAGAAACAGTCAGAATACATTGTACATTATATCTGTCGTTAATGGGGTGCTCTGCTGTCTGTCTGACTTTTCAACAAAAAAGAATGCAAATGAGATGTAACTGGACGCTTACATGATTTTCTTCATGGGAAAGTTCATTGTGACTTATATAACCTGCATCTGGTTCTCCTACATTGCCTACAGCAGCCTAGATGGCGGCATCAGACTCAATCAGATGAAATATTTTTTAACTGTTCTTTGTTACATGACAGTGAACCATGTTTTTGTGTATATAAAAAAAGATGTATGTGCTTTATTATGCCAAGAGAAAAAAAAATGTTATACATTAAAGATGATATTATTTTTCCTGAAACATAGAGAGAGGGCACATAAGGTTTTTATGATGATAATAAAATCAGGGGTTTGAGGACAGACTGACTAAGATTAATAAAGACGGTAAATAACACATAATTTGTAATTGATTGTTGCTCTAACTCTTTGTTTATTTAGTTTTTTGCACCCTTAATAAATACGACTCTTTTCTTAGTTGTGTTGTAGAGCTGAATGTTGAAGCTTGAAAATGTCCATTAATTTCTTTACTTGGTATGTTTAACTAATGATTTTGGTATCTTGTAATACCTTCTAGGTATATTTTGCAGTTGACAAGTCATCATCGATCTTAACCCTAAAAGGAATACAAATCTGTATTACTAATGCTACAGTGTTCTTGTCCCTACTCTTATTCACGTCTCCCCCCACGTGCATTAAAATTTAAAAACATTTAAGATTTCTTTACCTTTTTCCAGTCTAAGAGCTCCTTTGCCACTGCTTACTGCTATGTCTACCCCAATGTCACGGAGGAGGCATGACCTCCTCCTCCAATGTCCAATCCAATGTTCATAGATGAGCATTGAGGACCTAATGGGCATGCATGGTGAGTGCAGCGCGCACATTCAAACTTACCTATAGGAAATGCTTTCCTATCGGGCTTCCACGCCATGTTACCAAGTTCTACTCAATCAGTACTGCGGTAGCACCTCTCGTGGCTGTTATACTTTCTAAAAAACTGCATGTTTTAAATTAAAGAGTTCAAATGACAAGGACAGTGAGATGATCTCGGTGACTATAATGTCCATTTAAAAATTCCCCGTTTAATTTCCATTTTAATTCCAATACATCCCTTCTTGATTTCTTTGCTAGTGACTTTCTGTTGTCCTCTGTTCATGTTTACATTGTAAGTTTTCCTTACATGATTTCTAAACCATTGCTCCCATATGCCCTACCTCATCCTATCTTACTTTCCTATAGCTGCCTATTTTTTAAGAAGTCCCATAAAGTTTACCATCTTTTTGGGTAACTTCTCATGTCACAACAGTCCTCCATCCCTCCACACATAACCTGTTCCTCTCCAGTACACTTTACTCTTATCCTCCACTCTATTCTACCTCCACACACATTTTACAAAGCTCAAGTAAAATGTCATCCGTACCACTCCTCTTCTTCTTTTGTTCCTACATTGCATGCTCGTTTGAACCTCTTGTATCCACAAACTTTATTTTGACTGTCAATTATTTGCTGCAATGTTATAAAGTGCTGTGGAATATATTTGCATGATGTAGATAATATTTGAATAATATATTTTACTGTTCTGAATTTAGATTACAAAATGTACGAATATAAAGCCAATATATTGTTATTGAATCACAATCTACAAATCTGCCACCTTATTTACTGGTCGGAGCTTTGAATGATACATTTTACTTTCTTATCCTTGATATTTTTCAGGACGCTATCCAAAGTTAATCTTTCACTTTGACCTCAAAAGAAACATTTTGTATTTCATACTTGAAACATATGTACCCTCAATTCTGCTGGTTGTGCTTTCATGGGTCTCCTTCTGGATCAGTCAGTCTTCTGTACCTGCTAGAATATGTATTGGTAAGTGTGGTACCTGTTAATAAATACAAGAAAAGGTGAGATAAGAGTTGTGGGGAATTCCGACACAGTACATAACGCCTGATCATTCCTACCTATGTTCATTCATTTAGCTGGAACATCTCACCAGGAACTTTGAGACTATTCCTAGGAACTTAACATATTAAAACCTAAATAGCCCCATTGAAATAAATCTTATGTTCCACAAATCTAGAGCTTTGTTTTACAACCCCGCTATATTTTCACTTAGATTGTTGTTTCCCCACAACCTATCAATCAACATTTACTGAAGCTAACCATATCAAACCACTTATTTTTCACTGGTAAATTTAAGGCGCTTAGTGGTTTTTAATTCCAACTGATTTATAGGATCCAATGGATTGTTAGATATAATTCAGTCTCAAATTTATCCAATGCACTTTTGATGTACAGATCTTGCAATGTTAAATGTGAAACAGATCTCTATTGCTCGTGAATATCATTCTGTGTTCTAAGCTGTACACATTGCAAGTTCTTAGCAGTGATCAATGAACATGTTCATCTTTGTCTATATAATTCCTTGCAATGAAACAGACTACCTTTGCAAGAGATCATTAAGAATGGATAAAATCTTACCTGTTCAGTGTTTTGGCAATATTCAAAAATGAAGTGCTATTATGATATTATGTGAAAACAGAACCACTAAAAACAAAACCACGTTTTCAATTATCTAAATAATTAGTTAAATAACGTAGTAACTACACATGTGTGTGCATAAAAACAGTAGTTGCCTATAACTGGAATATTCACTGGCCTGAGAAAGTAATAATACAACATAAGTATTTTCTAAAAATGGATTGATTCATTTTTTTCTTAGGTGTTACAACTGTGCTCACCATGACAACTCTAATGATGGGCGCGCGGACATCTCTTCCAAATGCCAACTGCTTTATAAAGGCAATTGATGTTTACCTAGGAATCTGCTTCAGTTTTATATTTGGGGCACTTTTGGAATACGCCATTGCACATTTTTGTACTCTTCGTCTATCAAATCAAAAGAACTCAACACAGGTAGAAAACAAAATATCAAGTTACATTAATTATCTGCTAATTATTGGCCAAAGTCCACCTGTGTTCTGTCTGCTCTGTTTTTTACATCATATTCGCAAAGACACTCACATACTAGCATGATTATATTTTCCCTTGATAGAACTAGTGTATTTACTGCAATGGTATATGTATGAAAATGTAGATATTGTCAGATTTTATTCAAAAGATTGCTTACTGTGATATTGTGTCCATAGTGCTACTTTATCAAAGATAACATTTACTTTATGGAAGATAACTGTCATAACATAAATTGAAAACTATAGAATGTTTTCATGGAATTAGCATTTGAAGAACTGGCTTTCTGCTTCTCTCCTTTACTGACACAATACGGGGGTATATATCTGTATGCTCACATCACAGAGAAAAAAAAAGAGGCATAAGCAAAATAGCTAACGATTTACATATTTTTAACAATGTAACTAGTATAGTTATAGCCAGCAGATGTATCTCCAGATGTTGTTAAGCCTCTGTTTCTACTATTCTTGGCACATGATGGAGAAATTAAAATTATAATTATGAATGCAGTGCCAAGATATTCTGCAGCTTTGTGCAACAGGTAAACAAGATAAACGATTAACGAAACATGTTTGACATATGAAAAGAGTAAATGAAGAGGGCCTTGCCCAAAGGAGCTTGCAATTTAAAATCTACAATCTGAGCACAGGTTCACCAAAGAGCAAGAAAGTTGTGATTCATTAAAAGATGCAGATCTACCTACTGGTTACTCCTGGGCTACGTCCCTACGTGGGAATATGGATTCATAAAGTATAGTCTAAAAAGAAGTATCATATTTTCTTGGTAGATGCATTGTTCAATGACAATAACTTTGATTTTTATAGGAAGAAAAATTAAGTACCATTAATTTGATGTTGTCAGATAATTTCCAGCATTGACCCAAACCTGGCATTATGCTAATGATCCCAAGGGGGTGAATCTACACAGTATGTGGTTGAGTATTGGGTCACTCAGACACTACCCCATGCTTTGCTGTTAAAAGATGTGTTGTAAGACAATAGGTTATTTCAAAGCATTGTGGGTTTGAAATCTTAAAACCTAAGTACTGGGTATGCTTACTTGTATATTGTGCGTGGCTTTTTGGGCTACCTTGTCTAGGCTAAATATCCTCAACCCAGTCCTCGTGGCATGTCAGCGGTCCAGACTTTATCAGGATCCTCATTGGAACAGATTTGGCAAATGCCCAAATCTTGGACTGTTAGTGCAAAAACTTATCCAAGGGACATTTTTTCTAATGATTTGAAGAGTTAATATTGGAATATAATTGAATGATTTAATATAACAATATTTTTGCTATTACAATTTTTACCAATCCGCTTTAACCGTGATTTCTCATTGAATCGATTAATGGAAAAAAATGTCTTGACTCGAGAAGAATGCTTTCTAATTTCCTCTATCTTTTAACACAAGGATATGGATGATGGTGATATTGATATGAATGGATCAATTGCTGCAGTCTCCAGTGAAGCAAACAACCAAACACAAGTTACTAACAGAGAAAAGAAAACCAATGGATGGAACAATAGTGCATTTCTTAAAGCCAAGAAGAGACTCCGATGCATTTTTTACTGCTTACAAGTTGAAAACCCTCATCATATAGATAATTATTCAAGACTATCTTTTCCTTTATCATTTATGGTTGTAAATGTCCTGTACTGGGTGTATTACCTGTATTTCTAAACTTCCAACCTCACCTAATCGTACAGCTCTTGTACATATTGGGACTATGTGCAAACATATGACAATACTGTAGAGTTAAACAGTCTTCATAATCTTAATTTTTTTTTTCTATTGTAGTTGCGTTCTTAGTAGATTAAAAACTGTATTTATTTGCTCTGAACATATTTTTAAAACATTAGGTAAAATTTACATTTTATTAATAAATTATTTCATTCAGGAAACAACAAAATAGATGTTTATATTTTCTACTATTTATGTTTTTTGTATTTTTCATATTTTTTTTTGCACTGCATAAAAAATCTTCTTAATGTGAGCTAAATTATTATCTAAAGCTAAAAGAAACAGAAAAAACTGCCTGTTATGTGAAATAGCAGGAGAATTAAGACGTATTACAATTTACGTTATAAAGACTTTTGTACGTGTTTCATAAAATGATCAGATACTTTATTATATGTAAACAATAAATAAAGACATATAATGTATCACATCAAATAGATCACCCATTGGCCCACAGACTTTTTTTTTTTAGTAAATTTGCACACAGAATTCATCTTGGGAGGAACTGCTGTGCTTTTATTTGTTTTGCTAAGAATGTAAGAAATATACTGGACCTGTGCAATTAAAATTATTAAGTTTCACTAACTTTGGTTGTGTTCAGTGGAGTATGGAGCTAAGAGCACAGATTTGAGGTGTATCAAAGACCACCACAACTCGCAATGGCTGAAATCCTTAGCTGCACAGTATCTATAAAGTTCTACAAGGTGGTTGGTTTCCATTTATGTCACTTTAGGTCAACTAGTGTTAAGGTGGAAATTCTAGGAAATTTGCAGTTAAAATAGCATGTTCATTGTCCTCTATATATTAGCACTACAGCTGCTTAACACTCAGATGCATAAGAATATTTTGTTGAGGGACACATGGCTCTGTGGAAGCTCTGGAGAAATCATTGGATGTTCTCTTGATAATGTTGGTGCTATGAATGCCATAGTGTTAGGTGGCAGAAGCTTCACCCACATGTGGCAAATGTTTCAAAAGTAGTCCCTACTTTGCCTCATGCATGACTTTTGATTGTGTTGGAATTTCAGGGAAAAATAATGTTGTCTTTTAGAGATTTTAATAAAGAATCAGTATTTAAGAAAAATCAACAAATGCCAGTGTTACACAAGTCAATTAAACAGAAACACGACTGGTCCCATCACTCACATTCAAGATTTAAAGTTTGTACAGTTCATCAGTTGACTATTTTATAGGATTCCTATTGGAATTAATATTATCGGAAAATAAGAAACATATGATGAACATCATCCAAGTTTTGGGCTACAGATAATTTCCATTAATTGGTATCATGGAAATCTCATCAGTCTAAATTTTTTCAAAACAGTGCCAGTTTCAGGGTCCTGACCCGCCTTCCTGATTTTGTTCACTGGTGTCCCATATCCATGGACACCAGGGAACTGTTCTTGGCATCATTAGATGTGCTCACACTTTAAACAGGCATGGGACCCTGCCAAGAGTTTTTCAGAGTCAGCATATGAAGAGAGCAAAAGACTAGCAGAGTTATTCCCGGAACCGGGAAATATTTGGCAACTGACAAAAGCAAATTTTAGGGCAGGCATAGGCAACCATCGGCACTCCAGATGTGTTGGACTACACCTCCCCTGATGCTTTGCCAGCATTATGGGTGTAAGTGCATTATGGGAGATGTAGTCCAAAATATCTGGAGTGTCGAAGGTTGCCTATCCCTGTTTTAGGGCATAACGGCTGAAATGGAAAAATAACTGCATTAGAGTAATTTTCTAATGTGGCTGCTTTAGCCTTAAAATTTGGAATTCCCTTTTCAGTTCCTCATACCTTCTGGTTTACTGAAACTGTTGGTGAATGTGTCCAACTGTTTCATAAGTTGACTAATTACTGACGTTACAATCACTATTTTGGTTTACTTGCGGTACTGCAGATTAAATAATTGTAGATCTGTATACAGAAGTGTGACTTTATTTATTTGTTTTTTTTTACTTTTTTTAACTTAACACACATGCACGCGTTAAGACTTGTACTGTCCCTTATTTCTCATTTGGTATAATTTCCCTTTAAAAGAGCTAACTCAGTTGTAATTTATTGGGAATAGATTAAATAAATGTTACTAATGGTACTCTTATCTTTGAATGCACAATTTACCTGCATCAATGTTTCCATTTAATTTTGGGATTATTGTGGTTATGAAATATTGTAAATTAAGCAATAAAATAAACTATTGTACATATAGCAATAATTCCCTTATATAACACCATGTATGTTGTTTATGAAAGTTAAATATGATGTTAAATCCTCATTGCTTGCAATAAACAAAATTGATAACCTGAACAAACCAATGAGCCCTTATAATTGCGTTCTCTTTACTATGTCTCAGATTTTGAAGTTCTATGATAATACTGAATGATAGAAAATGTATCTGCATTCATACGTAATCAGTTAATTTTCCTTATATCTGATACAAGAAAAACATTTCTGTCAACAGACACATTTCACCTCAAGGATCAATTCAGAAAACAGTGAATGGATAATGAGAGGTGAGTTTAACGAGACACCATAGGCACAAAAAACAAATACAAATTTAGCTTAATGAGACAGTTTTGGTATATACAGTAGATGTTACTCCTTGCAGCCTCACTGCTCAATTCTCTACCATTTAGGAATTAAATCACGTTGTTAATACAGTCCTAAACACACTTCCCTATATGTCACTTGGACAGCAATCAAAATATTTTCTTGTTAAGGAACCTAGATATCCTATGTTCCATTATTACACAGTCTGTTAATCTTCATTTGCTTGTGTCCTGCTCTGTTCATAGCCATTCAGAGCCTGCAGGAGCCTTTTGTGTGTGATTGAAGTTCAATTTACAGTGCAGGATATTAAAAAAATGTATAATGTAAGTTAACATCTGATTAAAAATGAATTATTTTCATGCAGGCTGTTAGTCACTGTCAGAAGAGGTGTGGCTAGGGCTGCTTAAACAGAAACTAGAGTAATTTAAATCCTAAATTGCAGAGAATTTAGCAGGGAAACTGCAGGGGCATGATCTATATACCAAAAATACTTCATTAAGTTCCTTTGATGCCTATAGCAGTATCCCTTTAATGATGAATTGACAACCAACTGTTTTACTGAGTAGTAGGAGTTTGATTCCAATGTCACAATTTAGACTTAATTGGTTTTATTCATTAAACAGTGAATTGTGGTCCATTGAATGCCAGATTGCAACATGTCAACCAAGTTGGAAACACAGCTATATTGGAGAATTTACCAATGCAGCTATTTTGACCTACATTTTGCCATCTCTTTTTAAATGCTGCACAATTTTTTGTTTATTGAATCTACAAGTTTCTGTTTTACTTGCCTTTCAAAAGTATTTTAACTTGCTGGCTGTTTACATATTTGGCAGTGTTATAACCCAGCATGAGTTACACAATATATCACACAGTTTACCAACATACCTAACAATTTTAATGTGATACAAAAGTTAAACAAAAAAAAAAAACAGATCACAAAAAAACACTGAACAGACTTATCAAACTACACAAGTATTTAAAACTTTTTTTTAATGAAATCTCTAAACAAGCTTTGGTGCAGTTAGAAGACTTCAGAACATTTTAGACAAGCTCCACTATATATTAGACAACAAATCTAATTAAGTAGCATCATGAAGAGTAAAAAACTATCAAAACAAGGTATAGCTTATAAAAAGTATATATTAAACATCCCCTGGAGTATCATTAAATCTAAAATTAAAAAACAGAAAGAACCTGTCTAGAGAAGGCTACCAAGACTTAATATCTTAGTAAGGAGGGATACAGCTAAAGAGGTAACAAAGAAATCAGGGGTAATTCCAAATGGAATGGAAAAATCTGCAGCTAATATAGGAGAAAATGTCCATATGAGAATTATAACCTGGATAACTTGGAAAACTTGGAAAACTTTGCTTCATGGACAGGTGGCAACAAGAAAGTGCTTACTAAAAATGACCAATATCAAATCTCATTTGGAACTTACTAGGCATGGAGCATGCAATGCATTGATGACAAAACATGTTTTCTGCTCTGCAGAAGCCAAATCTGTTATTTTTGCCTCAGCACAACATGGTAGATAAAGTATGATAAAAATCCAATGCCGAGTATGCTATCCACAGAGTTAGGCGGTGATAACAGCTTCTTTGGTAATGAATAAAAAACTGGTCAGATCTAAGTTGCAAGATGATCCAAATTCATTCAGTGGTATTACTTGTTTCAGCCTAAAAAATACCTGAGACTGTAATGGAGATACACCTTGCACTATGATAATGACCATAAAACCACAGTCAAAGTTATGATGGAGTGGTTACAAAATGCACAACCTGAATGTCTATTAAAGGACTATTAAAAATCCTGATCCTAACCTGATTGAACGTTTACGGAAATATTGGACAATAACTATTCACAAATGGTCCACAACAAACCTGAAATAGAATAAAATTAAACATAAAAAGCAAATGAGATTGGTAGAAATTATATAATAAAGGAATTATGATTTTCACTTCAGTAATACTGTTTGACAGCTCCAAACTCCAAACTATTGTTCTAGATCAGTGGTAGTCAACCTTTTTCTACCTACCGCCCACTAATGCATCTTTCTTGATGGAAAAATTTCCTTACTGCCCACCAGTTTTCGCGCAAGTGCAGAATATTTTTTAGAAAGGAGGGTGTTTAAAAAAAAAAAAAAAAAAAATGTACGTAAATTTATCTTTTTATTTCTACTTTATGGATGTTTATAATGTTTTTAACTTTATAAAGTTTAATGAGAAAACAATAAAGCAAATTATAATTACCTTTACTAGTGATTAATGAGATCCTTGAGGTTGATGCTGCGAGACTAAATATTTGATATCTGGTTTGATTTTCGTAAGGAACAAACGAAGGTCTCATCTTTCGGTGATATTCAGACGACTTCTCTGTTTGCTTATAATATGATATCTCATCTGTGTGTCAGCTCCCTACTCTCCCTCCTCAATTCCCCTCCCCACCTTTTTTTCCCCTTTTTTCTATTTTTTAACCTTCCTTATGGCAATGCCCAGTAGGAAGGCTGAGCTAGGTAGCCCACTTACTATTACTTACTATAGCCCACTATAACAGACAGGCACACATACATACATACAGACACACACACACACACACACACACACACACACACACAAGACACACATACATACAGACACACACACAGACACACACACAAGACACACATACATACAAAGACACATACATACAAACAGACAGGCACACATACATACATACAGACACACAGACAGGCACACATACACACATACAGACACACACACACACACACACAAGACACACATACATACAAACAGACAGACAGGCACACATACATATAGACACACAGACATGCACACATACATACAGACACACACATAAAACATACATACAAAGACACATACACACATACATACAGACAGACACAAGACACACACACATACAAAGACACATACATAAGACACACATACATACAAAGACACATACACACAATACATACATACAAAGACGAGACCCACATACATACACACATATATACAGACATACACACACTCACAAGACATACATACAAAGACACACACATGCATACATACAGACACATACATACAGACAGACACACACAAGACATGCATACAAAGACATGCATATATAGATACAAAGATACACACACAAAACATACATACAGACAGACACACACACAAGACATACATACAAAGACACATACACACAAACAAACATACACAAAATGTGTGCAGATGCAGGAGGGTGACATTCCCTGGGGTCCAGTGATGGCTCAGGTGGATGGGAGTCAAAGTTCCCACTCTGACTCGATCTGCTTCCTCCCGCGCGGTCTGTGTGTTAGCTGGGAGGAGGGACGTGCAGTCACTTCCTCCCAGCTCTGTGTGATGTAATCACAGGGGGCCCAGTCACGCTGTTAAAGCACCCAGCGCTGACCAGGCCCCCTTACAATCCATAACCATCGGGTGGCCCATGCTGTCAGGGCCACCCGATGAACTCCTTGGACGGCGGCCCCATGCGGGCCGGGGCCTCAAATGGTGATGGGCGGTAGGGACAAGTGGGCGGTAGGGACCAGGTTGACGACCATGTTCTAGATTAATGTGGCTTCACTGCTCAGTAGCTCAGCTAAGCTGACCACATGCCGTCATTATGGGATTATTCTTTGGATAAAAATGACATGTCTATAATACACTTTAAAAAAGGGAATCCCAATGTGAATGATCTGTACAATATATCAATACCCTGTTCTACAGGCACAAAAAGTATACCCCTCTTTTTGTATAACCTCCAATCTACAAAATTATAAGACACTTTTCTTGTTTTCATGCTATGATGGCAGTAGAAGTAGGACATCAGCCCTCATCAGAATGTCTGATCTCTGTACCTACTTGACCTCTAACCAGTAAAAATATAGAGGTGACCATAATGACTGCACCAAACCCGTATCAGTTATTTTGTACAACCTAGCCACATTTGTGTGACAAGAACTTAGGTTGGCCGGCTGCCTGCTCACCTGGCATTTATAGACACTGGATTTCTTAGTTTCCTTGACATGACTGACCGAAGGACCATCGCTATACTTTGGCTGGGGTATATGCTCTTATGTAAAATGTCATGCAACCACCAATTGCTTGTTTACATTTTTCTATTTTTTTTCCCTTTAACTTCATACTCCTATAATCTGTTTTCAATAAACAACTAGTGTTAAATTTACGAAATCACTAAATTGGAGATTTAGTGTGACTTGTACTGACACTGTGAATTTACCTGACTTATCAAAACTAACGATAAAAGGTTAAAAAACTAATTAGTATCACAATCAATATTTGGCATGACTCAAGCATTTCCTACTCTCACAAAGAAATAAGATGTACATAGTTCTACTGACAACACATTGAGGTCTTATGCCTCATTAATTTGGGAATAAGGCGAATGATGGTAATAACTTCATGACACAGCTTGTTCTTCCACTGTTTGTTTTTATACTAGTTTTTATTTCTATTCTACAGTCCCTGTATTTATATCTATCTGATCTAATTATTCATCTCATCTGTCCATCTGTCTGTCCATCCATCTGTCCATTCCCTAACAGATTTTTTTCTTCACTATATAAGGTAGGTGACAAAAATGTTGCTAGTTTTGCTGATGCAAATTAAGTTCACTTAAATATTAAGTGCAAAGCCTGACGCATTGCACCATATAGGACATGATATTGGCTGTTTAAATCACTGGTAATATAGAACAGGGAGGCTCAAC